CTCGTTTTTAAAAAAAATGCTAAGGTGATGGTGACGCTCAGTTCCGATCAAAGTAAACATTTCTCTACAGAATACTTTTAACTCGATTTTTAAGTGATTTCCAATTTCTTAAGAGCACTTACAAAGCTTAACTAAGCGCCTGCAATATTTCAGATAGTAAAAGATATGTACATATGTTCACTTTTAGTAAAATATTTTAGGCATGGTATTTATCTGGAGTTAAAAGATTTTAACAATAATAATAAGTTAGCTGTGACTTAGTGAGATCTTTTTTTGAGTGTTTATCCCTATATTTGCCCCTCTGCTGTCTATCTAACCGAATGTGTGTCTGGCAGTCAGACTGTCTGTCTGTCCGCCGGCTTCCTGTTCGCTCGCTGGCAACCTCAAGCGCTCTTCACCGCGCACAAAAGCTAAGCACATGGGCCAAACAAAAGCGCAACAACGGAGGCAGCCCGAACATGACCCTCGAAACAAAGCGAAACGACAACAAACTTGGCCCAACTGGATGGCAACGAACTAATGTGGCATAGATTTTTAGCATAAGCAGCGAGAATCGTTTATGGCAACCCAAGGAGAGGCACTTGGCACTCGACTCAAGACCTCAAAAGGAAGCGAGGACCAGACCCTCGTATTCAATTGCAAAACCGCAGCTCGCAAAAACACACACATACAGCACAGAACAGCACACCTACATCGACACTTTACACACGTCCTTTTGCAGATTTGATGGCGAAATGAAGATGAGAGACATGTCCTGCGGTCTGGCTTATGTATTTAGTTACATTTACCAAATGAAATATTCATACATTCGTGTGCGTTTACTTGGAAGTCGTATAATTTAGCCCGAAACCGTGGCTAAAAAGACGGACATTTTACCATCGCTGTGTGCGTATCTCCCCTTTCTATACGGACATTATCTCCCCACATCTCTTGGCATTTGCAATTTGCTTACATTTCACAATTTTCAACTTTGCTAGTCCGATTCACCGTTTCGAATCCCCCAAGCCCCCTTCAGTTATCCTTTCCTCATAGTGTGTTAACATGTTTGTGTGTGCTTGGGTTCCTCCTCGCTTTTTAGTTAAAAGTTTTTTCCACTCAGTTTGTTGGCCAAACAAATGCGTTTTGCAGTTTGGCTAAAAAAAATTATAGCTCTACTATTGGGATAGACAGATTAGATACCCTAATTTTTAGCCATTCTGACAACTAAAAAACTTAGCTATGTATTTCGAAGATCTACAATCTAATTCTCTTAACAATGCACGGTTACAATTGAGTTTTATTTGCACTATTTTTCGTTAAAAAATTCAGATCTTTGGGAAATCATCAAATCAATCAATTTAAAACAAAATGATATTAAAATGGAGTTATTATTATTATTATTTTTTTATGTTTATGCCTTTTTTAATTTTATAATGAAACTTGATATTACTAAATTATACTATGAATGTTTAATTGAGTCCCACAAATTTGAGTATCTACTTCCAAAATGAATAGCATATAATTTATCTCGCTCTCTCTGATCTAAAATTAAAACATTCACTCTACCCTGCAAAAAAATTCACCGCAAAAAAGGGGATCGGAATTAATAGACCATTTAAATAATAACAATTCCGCATGGACGACCGCAGCAGGGCATTAACTAATATCACTGGCAGTTTATAGTGTCCGCCGGCAGTTCTACGAAAAGGTGGAATTCGAAAAGGGTTGGCCCCAGCCATTCAGGTTTTTAAAACTTTAATGTCAGCAAAATGGGATGAAAATGATTTCATTAGAGTAGCGACGCATTGTTGGTACACTTATAGCAAAAGCTAGAAAGACTGATTTACTAAAAAAAAGGCTCGAATTCTATCTATGTCTTCTAACGTCTATAGAATCAATACTTTTAGTGGGAACGGGCAGCTGGGAGTGGATTTGACAGCTTAACTTATTTATTTATTGCCATAAAACTGATTTCAGTTTCAGCACAGTCATGCACTCAAACTTTCACATTTCAGTTACAGCCATGGCAAGAGCTTTAACACAATATCCGAACTGATTGCATTGAAAACCGATAAATGCTGTTAGTTTTTAATTGAATTCGGTTAGGGACGACTTGCGCCTGGAAACGAGTTGGGCGGATGCGCTATAAGCCAATTTTAAAATTGTTATTCAATTGAATTTGGCAAGATCAACGAGAGCAGAAAAAACTTAGAATAACAAAAATTAATCGAGCCTGTGTAATAAATTGCAATTTATGTTAAACTCATTTTTATTTGTATTTAAATCAGTCAAACAAAAACCGGCAGCGCTCGGAATCCAGAATTAAATCGAATTATGTTAATTAAATGCGCCATGCACAAAATGAGAAATCATCATCATCATCAGCAGCCAAGTTGAAGTTGTTGGCCAACTGGTTGACTTATTTATGCCGCACGATTACGCCCACCGCCAGAAAGCATCCAGCCACTTTTATTTTACTTTATTTTCCTTCCGAGTTTCCCTGCTTTTTTGAGACCATCGCTGGCCTCTTCGCAGTTGAGGGCTAACCATTCTGGGCTTTTGTCGACCACTCGACACACTTTTAATCCTAATTAATCCTTTTCTGCGAAAAGCCCCGAGCCCAAATGGCCAACAGTCAGACCAAAGGACACTGTAAACTTTGGCGGCAGTGAAATCATCGACATCACCACCTCGACTTGTCGCAAATTAACTCAATGAGCGACTCTTTTTCCAGCGGCAATTGTTGTGGAATAATTTAATTATGCCGACGCTGCTCGGTCACTGAATTCCCGAAAGGACTTTTGCCCGTGTGTGGGCGTGTCTTAAAACCCGGTAAACCACTTTCCAGCTCTACGTGGGTCCTCATAAGTCGGACTAAGTAATTAAGTCTCTGACGGAAAACGTGTGTGAGTTGGCTTCAAAATGAACAGTTTGCAAATTAACTGAACTCTCAGTTTAATTAAAACCTGTTATGCCAACGGCTTTAAATTGTTTGTCAGTTTCAAAGAATTTTAAGGACCGGTTTTAGAAATCTTAAATAATTTTTTATGTGTTGTGCAGCTCGTTACAAAAAAAAGTTTGTTCTACCTTTTGAAAAACTAGCTTTTTTAGCGGGAAATTGCTAGAAATAGCTAAACTTTGCACGGCTATAACTTTTAAACTACTACATGTTAATGGCGCTGCCGAACATAATTGGTTTAAATAAAATAGTTTAAAAATTAACACATTTTTTTTACTTATTTGCAAATTTGTGAAAATTGTTAAAGCCAATTTTGTTTGACTTTTCACGTATATAGCCCTTAAGATTCCTGAAACTTTGGTATATAACAAGGAAGGAATTTCGGCACGTTGAGATACAAATGCCTGTGTAGGCAAAATACCTAGATGAAGCGGTCCGAATGGGAACATTTAAAAAGTGCAATTATTTAATCGAATGCTTATTCATTTTTCGTCACAAAGTTTGATATTAGATATTTTGTATGTTGAAGGTGCGATCGTCACGACTTTTTCTTTTTGATTGATATATAAGAGGCTGTAATCCAAAAACAAATAAAAGTTTTTAGATATGCATACCCCAATAAATTTATACTATTAAGATTTAAGATAGAAAAATAAGCACATTTATAAAATTTCATGAACACAATGTTCAAAATGCATGTGTATTAACTTTAAGTTTTTTCAGAAGCGATTCTTTCCGTAACAGCAATTATATTATTTCTATAAAACATAAAATTCTGTTGATCGTAAGGATTTTTCACATATCTTTAAGTTTCAACATTTATAGAAATTTATGGGTAATTCAAATTTCTATATTTAGCTATAAAACATTCAAACAGTTTTCAGAAATGTCATTTGAATGCTTGCCATGACCTATTTCATATACTGACGGTTATACCACGCTGCGTATGCGTAATCTATGTTATTAAAATTACTCGTAATTACCTTCCGGCCATAACGAGTTCTAGCGACTGGCACTTGCGTCCACATGAAAATAAAATTACGTGGTAAGTTCAGGCGCCACGTGGCCAGGCAGGTTTATTATTATATAATCGATAGCGAAGCCGAGAGCAAAGCAAAGTCGAAAGCTTTTAATTGGGAATTCGAATTTGTAAACAATTCGGGTTTGGCCCACAACCACGGATGTGAAAACAACACGGTCAACTTTATCACCATAAAAGCCAGAACAAAAATATCAACCAAAATTAAAGTGTCGGGCTAAAAATAGCGCAAATAAACGCTGGAAAAAACTAAAAGGCAAGGACCGAACAATAGAAGAAAAAACAAAGGCAAAGCCCGCAGAGAGCGGTAACAGGATATGCGAGCGCATAGGGAAAAGGGGGAAAAAAGTAAAGAAAAAGTGGAATCGCAGGACATGTGGGACAGTCAAATTTATGCGTTGGTAGGGACAGCGACACAACCTCAGACAATAATTTTTGCCATGGGAGCCGGCAAAAAGCGAACTTGGCTAGTACACCCTTTATCTCTGGCCTCTATTGCCCCGCACTCGTGTGTTATTTCCGGCAAAAAGCCACATCGACCAAGGAATTTGGGAGAGGAAACCATGTAAACGCGGCCAAAACTTTGCAAAAAATATCGGCGAGTGGCAGCAGAAACGCGACTCAAAGTGGCTAAGACGGATAAGCGCTGCACAAAACGGCTAACGGTAAAGTTTTCCCTCCAATATCGCTCTATAAAGGTTGTTTTTCTTGGCTACCGTGGTTTCTTTTCCGAGATGATTGCTAAAAGAACGACGACAGCTGCAGTGGAACCAGTTTCCCCAGACGGCGTGTTTGGGTTGCTCTCTCCCCCCCAAAAAAAAAGTAATGCGATTGGGGGCGTGCCCGTGTCATCCGTCTTCGATAGTGTCTTTTGCAGCGATTCGCAGCTGGAGCCAAAGTTTACAACTATCCTTTGGGGAAGCTATTAATAGATCGAACTCTATCATCCTCATTGTTTACAAGTTTCTTTGTAGTTTGTAAGCGATTTTAAAGGCATCGCTGCGTATACGCAACGTGACTTACCAATTATTTTTTGTTGAAAAAGTTGCTGTGGCTTTTTGGCTGCAAATAAAGTCAGGAAAATAATTAGTTTGAAATTAATAATACTCGTATATAAGTTCTGTTCATATACAATTAAGTACCATGCATTGTAAATTACTAACAGATTCGTAAATGACAGTAATAAATTAGATCTCACAGTTAAACCATGCGCATAAATATAGGAAATATTTTACGAATAACAAGAGTCGGCTTAATTGGTCATAACATAAATTGCCCAAAGTAAACGTCGAATGTAATTAAGTAGACTTGGATTTATAACTAATTTTACCCTAATTTTGAAAGCAACAAATCGAATTAGTGTCCGTTTTAGCAGATAGCGCGTGTCCTGCTCGTTTTTCCTTTTCTACTCTCTCTTTATATCCCTCTCCCTGTCTTTCGAAGAAATCAATAAATAAAAATGATTTTCTCAAAGGCGTTTAAATAAATGAATTGCTGATTAAATGAAGTCGGAAAAGGAAGGAAAGTAGGAGTCATGACTGATGGGCGTAAAGGAATGGGAAGTCCCAGAGCGACAAGAAACAGCGAGATGAAATGCAAAGAATGTCCGAGAATTTCGGGAACAAAATAAACTTGTAAAAATGGAAGAAGAATAGAGATTCCGTACTGAGGCAAGGTTGAAACACAGCCGCAGATGCCGAAGCGACCAGCGAAATGTGCTCGGAGACACCGTTTTATGGCCAATGATGAAGGACGAAGGATACGGGCGACCGAGAATGTCGGAATAATAACAAAAACAAATATCCGCACAAAAGCCAATGAACGTCAGTCAGCGGCAGACGCTATAAACATGGCCGAGAGCGAAGTTTGAGCCTTGGGTTTTTGGTCGAAAATTCTCAATTTTACCCCGAAGTAAAAGGCACGTGCCGGGATAAAAGGAGAATAGGGAGCCGAGCAAACAAACGCCCGGGAAAATTGCATGCGAAGGGAAATCGCCGAGAACGGGGACTATTTATAAGCGGTTCCACGAAAATCGGGACGTCATATACTATAAATCCACGCGACCTTAACCTTATCCGCATTACACTCAGAACACTCAAACGCAAACAGAAAACAAGGGGAATCCCACGAGATTGAAAGCGAGCCACTAAAGACAGGTGCGGTGTGGCACTTTGAAAGCTTTTAGCCGGCTCTTTAACTTCATTTAGCTTATACAGATCTTCAGTAAAGGTGAGAGTAACCGAAAAACAATTGCTCAATAAGTGTATCTCAAACATAATGTGGAATACCATGGATAAATATATTGTTTTTGAGCTTGTAAAGACTTATATTTTCCTTAACAGTAAAAGTTCTTATTTAATCTTCTTTGATTATTAACAGACTAACTAACTACTAATTAAGTTTATAAATTAAAGTTTTCATATATAGGAACCATCATACGCTTTCAAGTAGTTTGAGCAAAGACAAGTTTTACTTTGACGTTCTCAGGAATTTCACAACAAACACAAAGCAGTTTTTTAATTATCTACATAAGTGATTTTCATGAAAAAACCTGTGCATATTACTTTACCAGACCGATAATTAACCTAATTGGAGTTCTCGAAAGTTGTCAAGAGCCGAGTTTATGACCCTTAAAGCTCCTGTTCAATTTGAAATAACTTGTCACGTTCGTTGGTGCGAGGGAGTATAGCCAACAAAGAGCAAACAGCAGACGGATAAAGCCGGATAATACAAAGACGAAAGTGAGTCAATAAATTTGACAATGTTTTTGTAAAAAATCCTCCAAAGGGAAGCTGCCAAGGAGTGGCCAAAGTGAGGGCATTAAAATAAAATAAAAGACTTGCTCAGACATTTGCTGTTCGGAAAAGTGCGTGAGGATGGAGGAGGGCAGAGGGTCCAAGGGATGACGGAGAACGAACCGTTGACAAAGTCAATGTTGTTCATAAAAAACGAAAACAAAACTTAATGGATTTCACAGACACTTTGGCGAGTCTCCAAAAGGGCGGCCGAGATGAAAATTGCGCGCGAGAATAAAAGTGGCAAAATGCGTTGAAGCAACTCTCAAATAATTTGCGCTAGACATCGCACGTCTCAGTAAAGTTTTTGCGGCCATACGGAGTTGTTGCTCTTGATTCCCCATGATTCCCCCATCCCAAACAAAAATACTGTCAAAATTCTTGCGGACAAGGGTCCCGACTTAATTATACCTGCTAGCAAATATTTGATAATATTCAGATACACAAGATTCTCAAAGTATAATTTCCATAATGTTACAATGTTGTAAATAGGCCATTTATAAAGACCAAAGTGTCCATAAAAACCAATTCAAAGTTAGTTTAATGCTTACATTCCCTGTATTCAGCTCCCAGCACAGAATGCAAACATTTTAAACAACTAAAATAGTTCAAAATTTGTTTCTACAAAATCTACATGTATTTTACAAAGTAGTAAATGTCCGACGGCAATATTTTTTGCACAATGAAAAATTTTGTAGGGTTAATTAAAATAAGTGTCTCTGGGTGCCAAAATTAAAGAAAATCTTAGAATCTCAATGAGTGTGCTGTTTTAGATTGCTTAAAATCTAGATTTTTGTTGAGGAAAACTATCTGGAGTTCTAATCAAATAAAATCTAATGGTATTGCCAAATCTGTCACATATCTTGCAAACTAAAATCAAGTGAAGACCAATTAATAATAGTAGCTCTAATATTAATTAGAGCTATTTCTATACATTTTGAACTCGGTCTTTTAATATGGTAAAACAAGATTCGTATTGTTCTTCAAAGGTTTGAAAACTGTTTCAGAAATTAATCTCACCCTGGTTTCTTACTATAAGAGGGGTATTAAAAAGTTGCTAAAAAGTAATGCTATGTAGCCCCCTGCCGCTAATTCTAATACGTCTGACATTCAAGGGTAAAATATTTCATAATTCGCACATTTCTGGGGGATTTGGGGAACGCTAATAATTGCGTGCGAGTGTGTGGGTGAGTCTGGTGCTGGCGTAGTTGATATTTGTGGGGGTATTTGTGTTTGGCTTCGGTTGGTTTTTGTTTGTTTACTAAGCACTCAGCTGAGCCGGAGGCCTCCACATACACGCACACACAGCCAGACACACTCGTGCGGTTAATACTCACCTTAACACACACATTCACGCTTTCAAATGCATTTTCTTTTCATTTCGGTGTTTACTTCTTTTTTTTGTTTTTTGTGTCGCACTGAAACGTTTTTTGTTTTTGTCGCGTTTCGTTTGCTGATAACGAGGACTGGCTGGCGCTTCGTTGATAAAGGGGGATGGGAATTGCGCGAAAGTAAATAGTATATTTACGCGACGCTTAAATGTTTAGTTTTAGTTTTCGTATTATGCAAAAAGTGGTATATGTTTTATACTTAACATAAATAACTTTGCACAGGACGTTTTTTTCAACCGGCGGCAATTCCGTTGCCGCGCTCGCACTTTACTGAAAAGCAGCTGCTGCTCCCAGCTGGGGGCGTGGCAGGGGGCACGCGGGGGCGGCGACGGGCACGGGCGGTGGGTGGGCGTGTCGAGAAACGGCCTTGCCCACACGAGCTACGCAGCACGAGTACAACTTTTGCACTGAGCAGATAATTCTGTGCGGGGACTGTCGCCAAATAACAATCTATCTCGGAAAGTCTCTCTCTCGAATGGGTTCTCTCAGCGGCCCTCTCTCTCGGCCCGCTCTCTGTCTTTCTTCGCTCTCTCTATTTCACCAAGTATTTATTGCGGGTCTGCAGCGTTTTTGGAGCTTTTGTGCCAACTCCCGCGCTTCGTTTTGGCTGCTCCAGTTCGCCGTGGCGCCCCGTTAACAACTGAAATGAAGTGTCACCGATAGCAGAAGCAGTAGCAGCTGGGCTTTGTTTACTGTTATTTGGCGCAAGCCACTCTCTCCATTTCTCTCTTTCCAGAGGAGAGAGTTCTCTCACGCATTTCTGCGTCTAACAGTGGCTCTCAAATTAAACGAAAACTCTTATCAAGTTAAGATGAATTTTTAGCCGTCCGTTTCAAGTGGTATTAAGGGTTTTTCACAATTATTTTTATTATAATTTTCTTGAAAAAATCTAAAATTTGTCTAAAAGAAAATTCTCAATAATAAATTTTAAATTTCATATAAAAAACCCAGTTTAGTTTTCAATAACCTTTTTGACAGTTTTTTCACACTAATATATTTTTTATTTTCTTTTTTTCTGATCAAATAGTTTAAGAGTTAAAGACATAACTGCATATTTTAATTACATTTTTATTTGTAGATAGTAAACGCTTTGCTATATTTATATAAATAAGGCCGAATTATTAAATTGGGTTTTTTTAAATAGCTTTATGAATACCCACCGTCTATTCCACTGTGCTCCGTGGGATCGGCGCAGGCGCCGGACTTAGCCTGGCCTTGTCTTTTCGCCGTTAGTTGTTGAGCTAAAATTCGCATAGTTGTTGCTGTCAGAGCTTCCTAATTCAATCTTGGGAAGCCATGAGATTGAGTGGCCAACGAGAAATGTTAGTAAGCAGTTGGGAAAAGCCTACTTTTAGGCGGGTCTTTGAATTTTAGGATTAGCTTAATTAATGAAATTCCGCAAAGAGTCAAATTTGTTGTAATTTATTAGTAAAAAATGTTGAATTTTATTTTATATAAATTTTTTTTTTTTTTAATTTCAATAAGTAAGGATTTATGTTTTATAATTTTAAACTTCCTTTCAAGTTGTAAATATAAGCAATTTGGTCTATTTTTCTTAGCCACACAAATTAAACACAAGTAAAACGACATGGAAGACATTCTTTAAAAAAACATTTAACGCAAATTAAAAACAAAACAAATTGTTAATGCTTATAACTTGAATATAAATTGATCTCATTGAAATCAAATCAATGCCAATTAATTAATTAATCACTCAATTTAGAAATCGCTGTCTAATGCTTGAGATACTAATGCCATCTGCAGAAGAGGGATAATCCAACCGCTGACGGGGGTCAGTGGAACGCTCTTAACTTGAAGCTAGCCGGCTCCGATGTTGTCGTCTCCGGCTGTTCCTGCTGCGGATCAGCCTCCGCCTGAGCATCTGCATCCGGGTCGTCTTCCGGTTCCGGCTCCGGTTCCTCCTCCGCCACCCGCACCCCGTCCTCGCAAACGGCAATGGGCTGGCGCTCCAGAAGGGGGCGTGGCAGGCGGCTCAGGAAGGCCGAGCAGTAGGTCCGGATATTCTCGCACTCGCCAGGAGTCCGCTTGACCACAAACGCACACGTCTGGATGATGTCATGCAGCGTATTGTCCATGTACTGGAACACCAAGTGCTGCTCCTCCGCCTCGCCATGCGTAACCACTTTGCCATGCAAACTGTTGGCCGGGGAAATGAAAAGGCTATTAGCGAATCACCATACCAAAGCCAACATCCACTGGCGAAAATTCATCTCACCCAACTGGCTTGCCGGGAATTTTCATTTCCAGCTCGTCATATTTGCCCAGAACATAGTCGAATTGGGCTTGGGCATCACTTTCCTCCATCTGTGGGATTGACAATTAATTGCAATCATATTCTATTTTCAAACTTACATAAACTAAGCTTACTTAAAATCTATTCTAAACTTTCTAATTAAATAATTTATAAAAATTAACGCAAAAATTAAAGAAAACAATTCAAAATCATCTTAGGGTTTAACTCTTTTAAAAAAATTGTTAGGGGCTTTGTTTATAAATCATTTATATGACTCATCCATTATAAAAACAGTATATTAAAAACCATTTCATACTCACATCTTCGATGCAGTGATTTGGGGGAATGCAGATTGTAAACTGTAAAGTGCTTTAGAAATTTTGACTCTTAAAATATTTTTAATCAGCGCTCACCACAACTTTGGACGTTGAAATAAATACCAGAAAGAGCAGCAGACAGCTAGATAAATCCATGGCTCAACCGTATGCTGTGATCAGCTCAAACTAAACTAACTTAAAAATCAGAAATGGTCAGCGTATCGCAATATAACTGCGAAATATGAATATAAAACATTCTCGTTCATTGTTCTCGCTTCGCTTCGGTGTAAAATGTGACGTCATGATAATTATAAAATAGAAAAAAAAAATCAAACATTAGCAAACAATTGGGGACTCATAAAAGCTTGGCAAATCTCACACGCGAGCTACCCATTGATATTAAAATATTTGCACTCAAATGAGTGCTTCTGACTCGTTGACGGTAAATGAGTTATTTTAGAAGCAATTCCATAAACGCATGTTTGTAAACACATGCAAATACTTTTACTTACTCCTTAGTCTACGCAATTATTACTTATTTGAAATTTTTTGTGTCTAACAAAAGGGAAAGCTAGATAAGTTTTGGACATAGTTAGGCAAGATGCAAAGAAAACAGTTAACTTGCAGCTATATAAAGCGATGCATCTGGAACAGGAGATTACTGAACTAAACAAGTATTGCTACGAACATAAGATGAGGGTTTTCTTTTTATGGAGCTGCTTGACTTTGACCATTTTTGGTCGAGCGTCCTCGTCGGGTTCTTCAACTTCCACGTCAACATCTGCTGTTTCGACATTAACCGACTTTAAAGCTTAACCTCTTCCACTCTCATTGCGTCCCCATCCGCGGCTCCTCAAACTTCAATTGGTTCGTCCAGCATCGTCGCTTTCCCAGGATCGGGAACACCTACCAATGACTCCAAAAATGCGGCCAAGGGAAGGGATGACAGGAGAAGGGCTGCCAACAGAAAACATTTGGCGGCCATAAAAAGGCGTCAATTTTAATTTTTGTTCTTAGTTCTTCGACATATAGTATTGGTTAATTATTTCAGAATTACGGTTTAAATTTCATCGAAATCGGACGACTATATCACATAGCTCCCATAGAAATAATAAAAATTTATAAAATAAGTATCTAATAATAGAGCTGCAAATCATCATAGCTTCAATGTTTTTCAACATATACGCAAGTAAATCATAATTTTAATGTTTTCAAAAGCATTTAGTTCTTGCAATAGCTGCAAGGGTATATGAACTTCGGCTTGCCGAAGTTTGCTTTCTTTCTTGTTTTAAATAGAGAAATTGATTCGACAATTTGATATATCTCTTCAAAAAACACGCACATGTTCGCCAATATCTAAACCAATCGCAGTGGGCTCTGCAAACTTTCCGAGCAAACAAAACAGAATTTGACAAAACCAGCTGAATAAATTTAGGCAGTAATTTGTAGATGCCATTTGGACATATGGATAACACCATCGATACCAGGCCATCTTCTTGTATGGCTTTCTTAGCCAAATTTTTCACAATGCACATGATAAACATTATTATGATGGCAACAGTTGGGTAAACTTGCTAATATTCTTTGAATCCGCTTTGGTGTCATAAGATCACAGCACTATATAAGCCCGTGTGATCATCCGAGAACACCATCAATACCCAAAATGAAAGTAACATCGATCGTCTTGTGTGGAATTCTATTCCTGGCAGCCTATCTCCTGGGGAGCAGTGAAGCGGTGACCTGTGAGGACGATCCCGCCGACGAAAACTGCATTAACTGCACCACCAGTCCGACGAACGCAGAATGCTTGCAAGAGACATCCACAACGGCACCCACAACGGCACCCACAACGGCACCCACAACGGCACCCACAACGGCACCCACGACAGGCACGGACTCCAGCAGCACGGCACCAGGGACAGGATCCACCACAGCGGCATCATCGAGCGGCGCCAACACTCCTGCTCCGAGCAGCGGCACGGCATCGGCCAGCGACTCAGCATCGACGTCGGGAAGCTCCAGCAATGCAGCCGCCAGAAGGAGGAGGAGGGCTGCCCGGAGGAGGGCTCAAAGGAGGCGTGCCGCCCGAAGGAGGCAGGCGGCCAGGAGGAGGGCTCAAAGGCGCAGGCGACAGAACCGGTCCGGTTAAATAATATTCCCTCTTCGGAACTGGAGTAATGGCTCACTGGTTTCATATTCAACGATTTACGATTATTCTGAAAAAACTAAATAAAATCAATACAATGCATTCCACAAACAAACTTTAGTTACTTATTATTTTTCATTTGAAAATTTGTATTAATGGTATAAAAATGTATAAAAGGAACTTACACGATAATGTACTAATTAGTTTTGTAACAAAACATTCTAGAAAATTAAATGCAATTTGATTTTTAATGAAATATTAGCAATTGAATACGAAAAAAACAAGAAAGGAAGCAAACTTCGGCAAGCCGAAGTTCATATACCCTTGCAGCTATTTCAAAAACTAAATACTCTTGAAAACGTTAAAATTATGATTTACTTGCGTGTATGTTTAAAAACATTGAAGCTATGATGATTTGCAGCTTAATTATGCGATAGTTCCTATGGCAGCTATACGATTATTCCTATGGGAGCTATATGCTATAGTCGTCCGATTTTGACGAAATTTAAACCGTAATTCTGAAATATTAAACCATTACTATATCTCGAAGAAACACAAAAAAAAAATTAAAAAACACCAAGGTTATCATTTTTTTTTATTTATTTTTACGATTGTTCCTATGGGAGCTATATGCTATAGTCATCCGATCCGGCTCGATCCGACTTATATACTACCTGCAATAGAAAGACAACTTTTGGGAAAGTTTCATGCAGATAGCTTTAAAACTGAGAGACTAGTTTGCGTAGAAACGGACGGACAGACGGACGGACTGACGGACGGACAGACGGGCGGACAGACGGACGGACAGACGGACATGACTAGATCGACTCTCCTAGTGATGCTGATCCAGACTTTATAGGGTCGGAGATGTCTCCTTCACTGCGTTGCAAACTTTTGACTGAAATTATAATACCCTCTGCAAGGGTATAAAAAAAAACTTTGACAAGCAAATGCAATGAAAGTCGATTTGAACAAAAGGCATTGAAAGCGATAAGCACTAAATATTTTTAATTTAAAATAAACCTAAACGTTAATAGTTCCAACAAAAACGAAATGCTATAAAATAAGTAAACTGCTATAAATTAAAATAAACATTTTCTAATTGTTAAATTTTGTTTCGTCTTCATTTGAAAGGTATTCCATATAAAAGAAAACTCTGCAACCAAATGATAAGCCAGAAAGGCAAAGTTACTAATTGTACGTCACATTAAACAGCCTTCAACCTTAAAAATTGAGAAACTAGTCAGAAATGGCATTGATTATAATGTGGGTACACAGTCAATAATGAACATCATTCAAGGTGACTATATCCGAAAGCGTTCTAATTCTATTTTTTATGACATAAAATTCTTCTTCTAACAAATCAAACACACTGAGAGAAATTCAGTACCTACCTAAGGCATTAAATTCTATAATATATATGTTCTGATCTCAAAAAATGTATTACTAATATATTATTAACTTAAATATTTAAATAGAAACAATCAAAAGCAAAATCAAAAGAATCTATTTACTTTTTAATATTAATAGCGTTCAATTGAAAGTTTAGGTTTTTATATGGGAATAAATGTTTGTGCGGCTTTGAAATACGATTTTTCTTCGTGTGTACAACTATCATTTTTAGCCAATTCTTGGCGAATTCTGAGCAAACAATCTAGGAATATGTATAAATAAATTTGATAGAAACAGCTGCGTAAATTTTGCCAATAGTCCTTGGGTAAGAAGAGCGCCTGTGATCCACCCACTATATAAGCCTTTCCGAAATCCGACATCACCATCAATCAACAATCTCCAATCAGCAAATCCACAATGAGAGCAGCCACCATCATCTCCGCAATCTTCGTCCTGACAGCCTGTCTCTTGAGGAGCAGCGAAGCGGTGACCTGTACCGCTGCTCCCACCGACGCTAACTGCATCAACTGCACCACCAGTCCCACGAACGCCGAGTGCGTTGCCGAGGCCGCAGCTGCCGCCACAACCACCACAACCACTGTGGCGCCAACCACTTCAACCACCGAAGCGTCGACCAGCACTTCGTCCGGAAACCGGAAGATCGTGCGCGTTAGCAACCTGAGCTACTCCGTCACCCGTCGCATCCGCGTCAACAGCACCACCACCCGCTCCACCAGCCGCAGTGGCAAGACAAATCGCAGACGCTCCACCAACGCGAACCGCAACCTAAGGCGCAAAAACAACAAAAACAAAGCCAAGCGGGGCAACACGAGAGCCCGACGTGGAAATGGCAACGTTCGTGTCGTGGTTGGTTAGAAATCTGTATCATGAGGAAATTGTTAAATAAAGAAATATAATTGAAAATGTAAAAGCGATAATATTTAAATTGTTTGATTTTAATTATAAACTTTTATTTAAAACATTTTAAAGTTACAGTTTTAGCTTTCACTTAAGTAAATCACCCCAATCAAATTATTGAATTAATAATTTTTGTTCTTAAGATAGATTAAGAGAGACTTAATCTGAGCAAAAACTTATTGTATATGACAAACAATTTTCAAATTTCAACTTATTTAACGCAAAAAGAAATCCAAAAAAATGCTAACTTCAGCAAGCCATAGCCAAAAAAAAAGCTGACCTAATCGTGCCGATTTTAATCACTATGGACGACAGTACATGTAGGGACGATGCGCACCAAGAGCGTTGCCGTAGAATTGAAAATCTGCTGTGATGGACTGATCGTAACGAGTAATAAACCAATCGAAAGGTATCGCATACCAAGACTTTGGGAAAATTAACTGGTTCAGGAAAAACGGCGGTGATAGTGACATACTAAAATTTTTTTAAGTTTAGTTCTTGAGCTTGGTTTGGTAAAAAAATACACTTTTTTTAACACAGTTTAAATTATGTTCAATATACGCGTCGAATGACACCAAATTTGACCCCGATGCCCCGTTCCAAAGTTATTCAAAATTGCCTGTGTAGGAAAAATACCTGGATGAATATAATTTCCTAAGGCAAGAAAGCAATTTAAAAATGCATACTAATATAGGAAGCTTAATCGTGTTTGTTTCAAATTTACAATATATATATATATATATATATATATGTATATAATGAGTATAAAATGCACTTGTATTCCTCGTAACTTTATTGGTGTCCATATTAAGCACTATAATCCGAATGTGGCAAATAACACCGTGTTGGCAGTTTTCTTCCTACATAGCTAAGAAGCTCTAACTGAAACAGGCCCAAACCAAAAAGCCAAAAAGCAAGAAATCGGCGGGTGGAAATAAACTATAATTCAAAAACCGAATCGTTCACTTTAAGAAGGGATCCCTAAAGCAATAGCTAGACAAGCCGATCCACTAAAGGATTTTGCAGTGTTTTAAATAAAAATATAAAATTCAAGTTATTTATCTTTAAGATTGTAGCCAAAAACACGAATGTCCAATAAAATTCATTGACATAAAATAGCTGAGTTTATATAAAAAATGTCTCCATATTTATTTCATTATTTTTCTAGTAAAATAAATAAAGTTTTTTTGGCCCAAATTGGTTTTTGCTGGTGTGCGCCACTGTGCCTGTGGTGGCGCCATCCTCAGCCACGCATTCTGCGTTCGTCGGATTGGTGGTGCAGTTAATGCAGTTAGCGTCGGTGGGGTCGGCGGTACAAGTCACCGCCTCACTGCTCCTCAGGAGACAAGTCGCCAGGACGACGACGACGGTTAAGATGGTGGCTGCTTTCATCGTTGAATTTCTGATTGCGGTTGGCACATCCATGAAAACTTTGACTTTTATATGCGTTCCGTTCCTCAAACCTTTCGCTGTCAAAAGATTATTCGTAGATTTACGCAGCTGGTGCTTGTTTGTTGAGAATTCGCAAATGTTATCTCTCTTCAAACAAATGTTAACATATAATTTTTTAACCGATAGTATGGTTAGAAAACAATATACTTTTTCAAAATTTGTTTGAAGAGTGATAGCATTAACAATTTTAACAGGTAGCAAGGTGTTTTTAACAAATTTAATCAGATGAATTCGTCTTTTTTGTTGCGGTGATTGTTTTGAAATCCTCATCTTTGACTTAATTTTTATACCCTTGCAGAGGGTATTATAATTTCAGTCAGAAGTTTGCAACGCAGTGAAGGAGACATCTCCGACCCTATAAAGTATATATATTCTTGATCAGCATCACTAGGCGAGTCGATCTAGCCATGTCCGTCTGTCCGTCTGTCCGTCCGTCTGTCCGTCCGTCTGTCCGTCTGTCCGTCTGTCCGTCCGTTTATATGCAAACTAGTCTCTCAGTTTTAAAGCTATCTGCATGAAACTTTCCCAAAAGTTGTCTTTCTATTGCAGGTAGTATATAAGTCGGAACGAGCCGGATCGGACGACTATAGCATATAGCTCCCATAGGAACAATCGGAAAAATAATTGAAAAAAAATTATAACATTGCTGTTTTTTAATTTTTTGTTTAGTTCTTCGACATATAGCAATAGTTAAATATTTCAGAATTATGGTTTAAATTTCATCAAAATCGGACGACTATAGCATATAGCTCCCATAGGAACAATCGGAAAAATAATTGAAAAAAATTATAACTTTGCTGTTTTTTAATTTTTTGTTTTGTCCTTCGACATAAAGCAATGGTTAAATATTTCAGAATTATGGTTAAAATTTCATCAAAATCGGACGACTATATCATATAGCTCCCATACAAATAATAAAAATATATAAAAGAACAATCAAATAATTAAGCTGCAAATCGTCATAGCTTCAATGTTTTTAAACATATACGCAAGTAAATCATAATTTTAATGTTTTCAAAAATATTTAATTCTTGCGATAGCTGCAAGGGTATATGAACTTCGGCTTGCCGAAGTTTGCTTTCTTTCTTGTTTTTAATAATTTCTGAAATAAGGGTTCGATTTAAAGTAAGCATAAACCGCCCAAAAGCTGACATTAAACGAGTCTTGGGGCCAAAAATTGAGTTACTACTATAATTTGCATTAAAATTCAAAATTCTTGATGTTAATTTTGAAAGAGAGGCTCTGTTGACCCTAATCAAAAATATAGTTACGAAAATGTACTCTTTAACAGGTTACATATTTTTTATAGAAAAGAATATACCTTTTTACTTCACTTTAAAATAATCAGATTATTGACACAGTTGTTAAGAATTTTGGCTTGTTTTTCCTAATGTTTGCTAAGAATTTTTGAATTATTGGGTTGGAATGTATTTTTTTTACGTGTTATGTTGAAAAGGAGGTGTGATAATGCATCTTTAAAAGAGGTAAATAATCGTTAACACAATCCATTGTTTTAATACCCTTGCAGAGGGTATTATAATTTCAGTGAGAAGTTTGCAACGCATTGAAGAAGACATTTCCGACCCTATAAAGTATATATATTCTTGATCAGCATCGCCAGGTGAGTCGATCTAGCCATGTCTGTCTGTCCGGTCTTCTGTCCGTTTCTAGTACTAGTACTAGTCTTTCATTTTAAAGCTATCTGCATGAAACTTTCCCAAAAGTTGTCTTTCTATTGCAGGTAGCATATAAGTCGGAACGAACCGGATCGGACGTCTATAGCATGTGGCTCCCATAGGAACAATCGCAAAAATAAATGAAATAATAATAATTATATCTTTGCTGTTTTTTAATTTATTTTTAGTTCTTCGACATATTAATATTCGGTTAATATTTCAGAATTACGGCTTAAATTTCATCAAAATCGTACGACATAACATAAAGGTCCCATGAGAACAAAAAAAATATTTAAAAAAAATTGTTTAAATTTTAACTTTTTTATTTTGTATTTTTTTTTAGAAATTCTTTTTTATTAATTAATAATTTTTACATTTTTTTAAAATCGGAAAACGATACCATATAGCTGCCATAGGAAGTATCAAATATTTTGGCTGCAAATCATTATAGCTTTAATGTTTATATACGCAAGTCAATCATAATTTTAATTTTATCAAGAATATTTAATTTTTGCAATATTTGCAAGGGTATATGAACTTCGGCTTGCCGATGTTTCTTATTCAGCTTATAAATAAAACTATGTTTAATGCAAGGCAAATTCTAATAAACTAGTGTAGCAGACTCATATGTCCCCTAAAATATTCCCAAATTTGGGCAAAGAATTTGAAGAAATTGTTTTCTTCATAATTTTATTGGAGTGGGAATGTTTCTAGCCGACTATGATGCGAACGTTTCCCCTTCTCACGTTGACACGCCTGGAATTGTTCCTGCGCCTCCGGTTGCGGAGGGTGGTGCGAATGGTGCTGCTCCTCGACGAGTTCCTATTGACGCGGATGCGACGGACGGCGGTGTAGCGCATGTTGCTCAGGCGCACGATTTTCCGCTTTCTGGAAGAGGATACGGTGGTGGTCGTCACAGTGGTTGTTTCCGCCACAGTAGTAGTGGGCGCCACTGTGGTTGTGGTGGTCTCGCATTCTGCGTTCGTCGGATTGGTGCTGCAGTCAATGCAGTTAGCGTCGGTGGGGTCGGCGGTACAGGTCACCGCCTCACTGCTCCTCAGGAGACAAGTCGCCAGGACGACGACGACGGTTAAGATGGTGGCTGCTCTCATGGTGGGATATCTGATTGCGGGTTGCAGATGGATGAAGGTTGCGGCTTTTATAGGCGCACCTGCCGCTGGCAAAAGATTATTGGCAAATTTACGCAGCTGGTTCTTATAAATTTTGCATAATTTTGTTCGCATGTTTACCGAGAATTCGCAAATACTATCGGTTAGAAAAATTATGAATAAATATTGTTTAAAGAGAGATATCATTAGCAAATTTTATAAGTGTTAGTATTATTCAACAAGCTGAATCAGTTGAATTTGTGTTTTAAGTTGTTGCAGTTCTTTTTACGTAATAAATCAATTGAAAAATAAATATACATTTGCCTGATTGTCAATAATTTAAATAAATAAACAAGTATATACGTTTTAGCCTAGCCAATTGAGTTCCAAATTTCGTTAGATGACACAAAAAAAAGGAATTACTTTTAGTTTTTTAGATTTTTGTCAATACATTTTCAAAAGTTAATACATAGTTCACGTTATAAAATATAACTTGAGTTAAAACGTAAAAAAACACAATTATAGAATATAAAAATTCCTCTAGTTCCTCACAAAATACATTATTAAAAAGTATATAAAGGGCTGTTGTTATATTACGTCATCCTTTTTTTTGTAATTCTTAACTGTAATTATTTCGCCATAGAAATTAAACAAAAAAAAAAGACCATTGGAGTAGTCATCTCGCTGACCAACACCGACAAAGAAAATGTATAAGAAATTTTAAGATGCCATTTTATTCAATGGCTCCCAAAATCAGGCAATGATAACTTCACCACCTGGATTGACAGTTTCCTACCATTCAGCTTTCTGCCATCGATGATATCGTCCCAGATCTTGAGCCAGTACTTTTGCTTGTCTAATCTGAATAATGAATACGATGCTTCTTATATTTAACCAACTAATGTCTTAATAAGATAGAAAGAACCGAGTCATTAAATAAAAGCCTTTTGTCCAATTCGCGTGTTATTTTGACAGCTGTCGAAATATGCCGATTCGAAAGTTTCTATTCAATCGATTTGTTGGCGCAGCTGTCGACCGTCCTCACAATAGATCCATGAACTAGGCAATTGGTATAAAAGCGATGGCACCCATCCGGAGATCATCAAGCAAATCCGTTCGCTTAAACCGATATCAACTATGAGGGTAACCACTCTACTTTTCGGCTTGGGCCTTTTGGTCCTCTGCTTTTCGAGCGGTAGGGCTGACGACCCCACCGATGGCAGCACCTCCCCGACTGATGGCAGCACCTCCCCGACTGATGGCAGCACCTCCCCTACTGATGGCAGCACTACCCCCACTGATGGCAGCACCACCCCCACTGATGGCAGCACTACCCCCACTGATGGCAGCACTTCCCCCACTGATGGCAGCACTTCCCCCACTGATGGCAGCACCTCTCCCTCAACAGGCGGCAGCACCTCTCCCTCGACAGGTGGCAGCACAAGTCCTTCGACAGGAACCCCCGGTGGTAGCTCCGCTTCCGGAAGTGACGGCAGCAACACCAGCAACAACAACAGCAGCAACAGGAACAACCGCAGGAGGAGGCAGCGTCAGCGTCGTCGTCGCCAGCGTCAGCGGGCACAGCGCAGGAGGAACCGCCGCAACAACAGGAACAACAGAGTCAACAACAACGGTTAAGTAAAACTGATGGATCATTTGTTATACTTCCAAGCTGCATTTAAAAAATAAATATACAGGATTCCTAAATATCCTAAATATATTGTTTCTCTGGGAAAGCTATTCTGGTATTTTAGAACAAAATAAGCCAACTTTGCCAGCACATGTAATGCTAAACAGGCAATTTTTTTTAAAGACATTGAACTTTTTTTCAAACTCTGAATTCTTTTAAGAGTTTAGTTGTTAAAAAACAACATTTGCATAGGTGTCTACAAGAAAGCAAATTGTGAAAAATAACTTCTGGTTGTCACTCATGAAACCTTAGGGAGTAAATCTAAACTATAGATTTTTATGTCACTCATATATATTGTGCTGTCCAGTAACCGTAAAATATTTTTTTCTTGCTTTCATTTGCTAGTCACTTATTCATACAGTTTCTTTATTGCACTTAAATTAAAACGTTCACATTAGATTCCACTACAACTATTTATTTCCTTTGATCTATTCAAATTGATATTTCTCGTTTGATTCCCACTAACAAAACTGGTTCCACAATTAATATTAATTAATTATCAAAGAGCAAAGTTTTTAATTATACGAAACGAAATATTTCCAGGGAATCACCAAAGTTCATATCTATGTCTACATGACTTAGTTTGCCTCTTCATTTTTAAAATAACAACTTCTAATGCTCGCACTTTTTATTAGATCACAATTAATTGACGTAAAACAAGAAACAAAACTCGTTCTACCAGGTGTTGTCAATCTCAGCTTCATCCTGGCACTTAATCTTCACATTGGTGGCCGTGCCCTCAGCCGCCAGCCATGGCCTGCTCCAAATCTTCACGGTGCACTCCTTATTGTCGGATCCATTGGACAGCTCCACGTCAAATTTGTGCAGAGAACCAGCCACCACTTGGCTACTTGCAGAGATCACATTCACAACTCTGAAATATGAAACATTTCAAATTACTTATACTGCACTTGGATTTTTGTATTTCTTTTAACTATTTGGTACTTTTTGAAAAGTACTCTTGAAAAATCAAGAATCACTCTAGCTCGTATAACTTTATAGCTTACTCGTAGTTTGGGCCATCTCCTGTTGCCAGTTTGGCAAGCGTAGTTGTCAGGAGCTCCCTAGCTGCGGATAAATCATCTCCCTCCAGCGGTTTGGCAGCACCGGGCGGCAGCCTCTGGATTTTGGATTACAATAAGTTAAAAACATATAACAAGTAATTAAAAACTTACGCCATCCACACCAACGGCCAGGGTCAGGCCCAGAACAAAGATCACTTTCATCGCTTGCATTTTCCTCTAAACTCTGCTTTAAACTGAGTACACTCGTGGCTTAGGAAACCGCTTTTATAGGAAACCGATTTCGTCCGAGTATTCGCTGAGAATATTTTCTTTATTTATTTGCGATCGGCACTAACCGGCCGGAGAGGAGCTAGTGGGCACTAAAACCTGAACACGACGACAATGAAGCCGCTCGTCGAGCATCTTTATTTAATTTTAGTTTATAGCCTTTTAGCTTGTTTTGCCTTTGGACTTGACTGCGACTTTGTGGTTTCATTATTCTTGTTTGCCCAGGTCAGGAGTGGCCGCTATATTTTGACTCATTATCAGTACAGCAACACCCTTTTACTTGAGTCAGCAACAAAAAAAAAAAAAAAACCGAGAAAAACAAATGTATATTTCATAAAACCTCAACATTCGTATATAAATAGCTTAGTTCATTGCTTTCAGTTACACTCATTTTTCATGCATAAAACAAGCTCTTGGAAGTTTTGATTATGACGAAGTCATACCAACGGAAACCCCTTGAGATATGAACTTCCTTTCGGCCACAAGAAAATAAAATCTAAATATATGCAAATGGTAATCAACGAATTCTTTTGATTCTATGGTTTCGATGTTCTTCAGCTGCGAGTTTTGTGTCATCAACATGAAACACATTTAATACATTTATGTTTAACTTCCACGCTGATAAGCGGTTACAAATCAAACTCAAAAGCAAAAATAAAGGTTTTTAAGAGCTGGGCTAAATCTAAATATTTACAAAAAAAAAAATAAAAAAGTCCACAATATTCCAGTCCGCAATTGATGAAAATAAAGTTGAAAACAAAGTAGAAAACTATTTATGAATTTAATCTGTCTGATTTTATTTGGGGGAGTTCCCTTACACGGGCATAAACTAATTTGCCCTTGGCGAATTACTCATTTCGAGCAATATCAATAACTATTGTTGAACGATGTAAACTGATAAGCGATACTAACCTACAAATAAAATTAAATTCTCACCAACATACAAATAGAAAAAGTCACTTGTTGTTGTGGGGAGAACAAAGCCAATTCAACACCACAAAGTAATATAAGCACAGAGAGAATTATATTTTGTAGTATACACTGCCCCCAACTGATGACGTCGACGTTGACTAATATATTCAAACAATATTTGAGGGAGACAAAGCAAACGACTCACTATTTGAGATAAAAAAAATAAAAAAAAAAACTGGTTTGCCAATAGAACTGGCTAGGCAATAACAAACTCACCGGACATCATGTATATATTAATAACCAACCTTATGAGCCACCTGGAAGAACCATTTTATTACCAGTTAAGGATAAGGTTGGTGTATAGGTATCACTAGAAAATGTGTACAAATACATAGCTACAGAAAATGGGTAAGGGGAAACGAATTTCTACCTAAATAATAAATAGCAATGAGGAAAACCTGTGCAGGTAAAATTACATTTAGGTCATCATTGTTTTTTTTTTTTTTTTGTAAGAAGTGTTGTTATTTTATTATTACATATTCTTAAGAAAAGACATTAGAGAATTCGATAAATTAATTTTACAATACCAGCATCAACTAATATGAATGAAAACATGATCAGTGCTTGCAGTTATTAGTGAATCTTAAAAAAAAAATGAATACTTTTACCAAGTGCGGTCCAGTTCTTCATCTTCGCCGGCAAACTTGATCTTGATGTTGGTGCCATCTTTTTTCATCCAGGGGCGGGTCCAGATCTGCACGGTGCACTGTTTTCTAACGGATCCGTCATCCAGCTCCACCTCGAAGGTGTTAAGAGTTCCAGCTACAACCTGGCCGGTTACAGAGGTCACATTAACTGCCCTAAAACGGTGGGAAAGTACAATGTAATGGCCAACTCTTGTCAATTCTGAGACTTCACTTACTTGTACTTGGGACCACCTCCGGTGGCCAAATGGGCAAGGGTATCATCCAGAAGTTGGAGAGCCTCCTTCCTGTCATCCCCTTCCAGCTGACTGATACCTCCTACAACGTGTTCGGCGGACATGGCCATTTTAGCAAAACTCAACAGAACCAAAACAAAAAGTACAACGACTTCGCTCAACGCTTGTGGGACAACTGATGAAGCTTTCGTTGGGGTAGAAGCTTTTATTACTGTTATCTCAATTTGTCAATGGAATTGTGACAAATATAATGAATAACAAAGGGACTGCACCCTTTTATAAGGCCATTTCCTAGCACGAAAAGTAAGGATCTTTATGTAGTCCCCTTATGAAATGTTTAATGACAATGATTTTCTATTTAAAGAGCTCAATTATCCATTAAAGAAACTTATAGACAGCCTTTACTAATTTTCAAAATATTAATTATAATTATAACCATTGTCGTTTATTTTTTCATAAGTCCAGAATAGAAATTTGAGTTTTCTTAACTTTTACCAGGTGCTGTCGACCTCTCCATCGTCACCGGTGCACTTGATCTTGATGTTGGTGCCGTCTTTCTCCAGCCATGGCTGAGTCCAGATCTTCACGGTGCACTGCTTTTTGTCGGATCCATTCTCCAGCTCCACTTCGTAGGTGTTAAGACGTCCAGACACGGTTTGACCCGTCACAGAGGTCACATTGATAGCCCTAGTGGGATTTAGCAATACGTTTAATTTTATGTTCAGTACGATTTGGGTTTCAGCTTACTTGTAGCTTGGTCCAGATCCAGTAGCCAGCTGGGCTAGGGTAGCATCCAGGAGGGTAAGAGCCTCCTTTCGCTGATCTCCCTCCAGCTGAGAAATACCTCCGACAACTTTCTCATCACCAAAGGCGGCCACGCTCAGGAGAACCAGGCCCAAAATGTAGAACGACTTCATGTTGCTTGCTCGACGATTGTGAGAACACTGATGAGCACACGGCGATGTGACCCATTATATACCTTTCATCTCCGTGGGAGATCGACAATGGAAAAATACAATGGGCAGGTGTAACTAGGGGTATATTAGGCTGTCTGAAATCTTTGTCCGAACTAACAATACAATTATTTTTAAATGCAACCAATATATGCATACCAAAATATTAAAAAATAAATTAATTGTAATTTAGTTTTTTGAAAACGTACTTTCATAAAGAAAAGTACTTAAATCAATATTTGAATTTGTGACTCAATTCTTTGATAAATATTGTATTTGGGTAAAGTTATTAAATTATGAATAATTCACTCCCAAATCGCTCACTTTTAAAATGGGTATCTTAAAGTTGAGCTCTTTATTCGGCTCTTATCTAAATATTTAAAGTTTATATTCAAAGGTCCGCCCGTTAAAATTAGCATCTATTTACATGATATATGTATAAATGTAGGTATTTGAGATGAAAGCAAACAAAAGCGTTTAAAAATATTCTATTTATGGTCATATAGACTAAAGACGCTAATTAATTGATTTATTAAACGAAGAAAGGGTACTTTGCTGTATATTATGAATTTTCCATCTTCAGATTAGAGAGTAGTTGCGGTTTGGATTGAAAAGCTGTGCAAACAAACACAAAAGCAAACCACACTCTTGACGCTCTATGCATGAAAGTAATACTCACGTACATATTTATAATCATGGCTCCAAAGCGCGCACAAACATCTGGTTTGCGGGGAAATCACCTCTTATCACAATTTCTGATTGGGTGTTCTACATACATACATAGGTCGGTCGATATGATCTGAAACTTTCCTTTGTGCAAGCACATATGAAAATCATTTCTATTTTATAAGCATTATATTATAATACGACTAGGTTGCAACCATCCACTCATCAATTTGTGCTTAATGGTATTGCTTAATTAATTATTAATATGTCAAAGTAAATATGTAAAGTACACTCGAACTCAAGTTGACATTATTCGCTTGTACAAAGTAAATATTATTTTAAGCGATAGTTTTTCAAATTGAAATGCATTATCATAGAAAATACTCTGGCTATACTTTTTTATATATGATTAATAAACTAATCGATACCCTCTGAATTTGTAATTAAAAAAAAATGGCTTGACGTAGTTAAACGATAAAACTGCCAATTACAAATGAAAGATTTCCACAAACCGATTTCAAACAATAACAAATGTTACATGAACTCATTTTATCAAGGCCCATTGGCAGAATCTCTGAACCGCAGATTGGATCTTTACATAACAACACAATTTAAGGCAATGAAAAACCATTTAATGATGTATTTATTCCAGCATACCAATTCTTCAAAACAAAGCTGAGGTACAAACTTAAAAGCCTTACGAACTACGCTCTCTACAATAGTTGTATGTTCAATTTTTTAAATAACGCATAAATCAACGATATTTTTCGATGCACGATACCATGAGGTAATTTACTCCGAATCAGTTTGTATATTAGGATAAGAGGTTTCAAAAATACAAGGCTTCGGGCTAGTTGCTTAGGTAGCTTCCATCTAAATGTGGATGTGCACATGTTCCAGTAGCTGTCCGCGATCATAGAAGATGGCCGAGCACATTTCGCACTCAAAGCTGCGGGATTTCCGTTCCAACTTACCAGCCGCCGCCGCCTTGGCCGCCGCATCCGCGGCATCTGCAGCGGAGACGACCTCCGAGATGGAAAAGAAACCGCTGCCCACATCGGCATTGCTGGCGCTGGCAGGTACGTTCACATTGTAGGCATCTACCCCGTAGTTGAGGTACGAGGATGAGCTGCTACCGACTTTGGTGGCAGTGTTCCCTTTCTTGGCCGCCGCTCCCGTGCCTGGTGAGGATTTGCTGTTGATGCCGCCGGCAGATCGCTTGCTCCCTGCCCGCGTTCCATTGGCAGTGATCTGACGCAGATGTCTGGAGGTTCTGGCAGAGGATGAGGATGAGGGGGTGCTTCCACTGGGAGCCGTTACCCTTTGCTGGCTCTCCACCATCTCCCGCAAGTCTGGGGACGTTGGCTCGATCTTGATCAGGTTTTGCTCCTCTTCGGGCAGAAACTGCGGTGTGGTCGAAGATTCGCTGGTGAAACGAAGACGGGAGTTCCTCTCGTGCTTCAGTGGCGAGCGCAGAATCTCCTCCAGATCGTTGACAATGCTCGGGTTGAACTTCTCGTACGTCTTCTCCCTGAGCAGAGCAGCATCTATTAGAAGATTGTCATCGTACATCAGTTGTACACGCTGCTCCTGCTCCTGCTTGATGTGCAACGGGCTGGAGCTGATCTGATTTGGTGGATGGGTGGCAGGGGAAATGATCTCGTAGTCATCCACCATGTTGGAGGCACTGCTGCGTGATTTGTCGAGGTCCAGATTGGTTGTCTCCGTGCGACTGATGTAGGTCTTGGAGCGCGTCTTCTTGGCCGCACTGCTGGATGATTCTCCGCCAGCTCCCTTTGGTAACTTGGCCTTCTCCGTGTGAATCATTCGGGGTCGCGAATTGCCTGCAGATGGTGCTTTGCTGGCAGTCTTTGTGTTGCCTGCCCTCTTCCTGCTGCGACTGCTGGAAGTGGAGGTGCTGGCGGCGGAGGATGTGGAAACGGAGGTATTGAAGCTGCCTGCACCATCGGTTGGCTTTGCCTGTACTTTTCCCTGCTGCTTGGCTCTAGTATTGGGAACGACAGCAGACCCAGTGGAACTGGCGGGCTGCAGATGGGTATCGTTGACCACCACCAGCGAATCGATCTGAAAGAGAGCCACTTGGCTGTCTTGCAGGAATTTTTCCTCCCAGATGCGATCTGATTGTTGACTGCTGGTAGAGTCGTACCTTGACTTGGCCTTGTTCTTTTCCTGGGCAGACTTTGCCGTTTTGCCATTGGACATTGGTTTCGGATCAGCCTTCGGGGCTGCCGGCGCCCTTTTCCTCTTCTCCTTCTTGGGTGACTCGGCCATGTCAAAGAGATCGTCCACATTCTCCACATCAAAGTCGCAAAGGTCGATGTCGCTGGTGTACTCGTCGGCATCGCCTTCTCCCATGGCCTCCTCCTCTTCGCCGTTGGCGTCCTTGTGCTCCGCGCGCATGTGAGCGATCTCGTGCGGCTGCAGTTTGCGACGTCGCTTGTATTTCCGTGGTCCCGTCTAGAAAAGTCTATTGTCTAGAAAATCTGAAAATGAAACCATGTTTTGTGTACAACTTACAATGGGCTGTCGCTGCTTGGCGGTGTTTGAGTCACTGTGCTGGATGAGGTGCTGGATGAGGTCGTTGGACGAGGCCAGGTCCTCGGAGCAGACCGTGCAGTGGTACGTATTCCTCGCCACATCCAGTCCAGAATGATGTGAGCGGATGTGTTCGCGCAGCACCACACGCTGGTTGAAGGCGCGCGGGCATACGGAGCAGGCGTACGGCTTCTCGCCCGTGTGAATCCGCTCGTGTTTTCGCAGCGTGCCGCCGTCTGCAAAGGCCTTCCAGCAGTAGCGGCAGCCATATGGCCGCTCGCCAGTGTGGATGCGCACATGGATCTGCTGGGAGCTACGCGATCCAAACGTCTTGCCGCACTCATGGCACGGGAACAGCTTGCCCGGCGAGGTGGTGCTGTGCGAGTGGCGGTGGTTGGAGAGTGTCCGTCCATCGGGGAACTCCTCCTGGCACACCTCGCACACCACCGACTTGTCGCGATGCGAGGCCATGTGCCGCTTCAGGCGTGCCTTGTTGTGGAAGTTCTTGCCGCACTTGGAGCACGAGTGGCACTTCTCGCGCGAATGATCCCACGCGTGCTTGATTAGGGCCTTGCGGTCGCGGCATTCCTTGCCGCACAGCACGCAGGAGTTGGCCTTCAGTTCGCTTGGGTGGCGGGTGTGCAGGTGCCGCTTGATTGCCTGCTCCTCGTAAAAGCTGATTCCGCATAGGACGCACCTGAAAGAGGATACAGTATTAGGGAACTTATTTTTAGAAATAACATAAATTGGGTAATTGAGCCTAAACTTTACTTTTTTTAGGTGGTATGTGATTTTCCAATTTATCATTGCAAATCTAAATCTCTGTTTAGTGTGAACTCACTTAAAGGGCGGGAACCTAGCGTGGATTTCGGCATGCGCTAGCATCTCCAAAGCGCTGGGAAAGGACTTTCCGCAAGTGTGACAGCAGTGACCGCCTGAATCTTTGGCAAGCTCCAGCTCTCCGCCAGTAGCGGCATCGGAATTGCCTTCCCCGGCCGTCTGATCGGTTAGCTTGTAGTGAAGTTTGGCATGGCGGCGCAACAGATCCTGGCGGTGGAAAGAGATCCCACACTCGTTGCAGTAGAACTCGCCATACAACTGATCTTCGGGCTCCGATTCGCTGCCACTATCGTCCGCCGATGCAGGATCGTACTCCGAATTGCTCTCCTCGAACTGGTGTGTCTTCTGGTGCTCCTGCAGGCTACTGTTGTCCCAGAACATCTCCTGGCATTGGTTGCATTCGAAGGGCGAGTCCACGCGGTGATTCTAGTAAGGGATAAATACATTTAGTGGATGATTTGGCAATAACTGGTTAGACTGGTTTTGGGAAAAAGCTATGATTTCCGTGATATTTGCCTGTCTTCTGTGTTACCTTTGTGTGTGAGACGAGTGCCTTTTCCCGCGCAAAGGCCAGTCCGCACTGCTGGCACACGAAGGGCTTGCTGTCGTCCAAAACTGGGAAATTTGGCTGAGGGGGAGGTTCGACTGCCATGGGCTGCGATGTGGTGACTACAGGCTGAGCCGGCTCAGAGTCCATGTAGTCGCTCAACTCGCTGGTAATCGGCTTCTCGGAAATCACGATAAACTGGCTGCTCTCCTCTTTAGGCTTCAGCCGACTGATCCTTCCCCGCGTTGGCGCTGCTGGTGGAGCCACTGCGGCCGGATAGCTGGCAACCAACTGAACCTCGCCCTCTTCCACAATGTGATGGTGATGCTGCACATCCTGGTGCGATTGCTCCTGCTCCTGCTGCTGTTGGTAAAGCGGCCACTCCTGCTCGTAGTAGTGGTCGTCCAACTGCCGCTGCGACTGGTGCTCAAACTTGATGGAGGAGGAGGAATCGGCTGCTGCAGCTGCTGCCTCAGCATCGGCTGCATCCTGGGCCTCTGCATGGGCCTTGAAATGACTGATGAGCTCCGCCCGTCTTGAGAACCTGGCTCCACACAGCTTGCAGAGATGCGGTCGGTCGTTCTGGTGGGCTAACATGTGGTTGTTCAGGGTGGCCTTCTTCCGAAAGCGACGGCTGCAAAAGTCGCAGGGATAGGGTCTCAGGGCGGTGTACTCATCCTGCTCCATGTCCAGCAGTTCCTGCGAGCTGCTGATGCCGGCTATCTGCTCGGCGGCAATTTCCACACTACGAAAAAGATGGACAATATATCATGTAATCCTCTGGAGGGAAGGAATTGAACTCACCGCTCGGCACCCTGGTGCTGCACCCAGTCGTCCGTGATGACCTCCTCGGTGACCACTTGGGCGTCGTCATCAAAGGATTCCGCATAGGCCACGGTCGTGCCATCGGCAGTGACTAGGACTGTTCCGCCCGCCTCGTTGGCCGCCATAATCTCGCTCAACTGGCCGTCGCGCGCCATGAAAATAAGATTCTCGGCTGCCATATGGTCCAGATCCTCGCCCGTCGCCCCCGCTCCACTGTCGCTCTCCAGGATGTCCACCTCGGAGGAGTCGCCTGTGGAGACGTGGTGCTGTATCCACTGGATGCCGCCATATCGCTGGTTGTTCATCACTCGCTAGCCCTGAAAATATGCAGATTTCTCAGTCCCGCTGCGAACATAAACAAATGAGTTGCACAAAAATATGCGGATTCGGGAGTAAGCAACAATTGGTGGCACATGTGCTCAGAATGACCGAAAACCGTGGGAGAGGGAGAGAGCGACTACGGCGTTGCCAGATTTCAGGACAGAGTGCATAAACGCTACAATTAAATAGAAGCAAGCTTACGAAGTCGACCAGAAAATCACTATAATATTAGCCACTAATTAGGTAGACACTATTATGTTTTGTTGACAAATTTATAGCATTGGTTTTATTTTATGAAGGGTGGCAGCACTTTAACAAATTCCAACAGTGCTGGACAAACAAATTTTTCTTAGCTAGATCCAGTCAGTATCTGTTGCATTCAAATATCAATTAATTTTTCCCAACAGCTATGAAGCTATTGCTTTCTAGTACAACGAACTCTGGGTCATTTTGACTAAAGTAAAACAAAATTAAACTTCACAGCTAATTAATATCATGAACTTATTCGTAAGAACTAAAAAAGCTTTTTTAGTTCCGACGTCATTGTAACATTGCTTATCTTCATTCAAAAAAAACATTAGTTTTATTAAACATAATAATCTTAATTGGTGTTTACAGCAGTTTAGCTGTTTTTTTTTTTGGCTTGAAATGTACACAGCACTGACTTCCAACCACCTCGCACACTAGTCGTCTCGCTCGCACATATGGTGTTCGCCCATTCTGCTTGCTTTGTTCGTGTCCAAGCTTTTTTTACTTGCAAAATATTCCAACTTATAAACACCAATTTGGACCATAAATGAGGTTAAGTCGGTGTTTTTATTTATATTCCAGACCGCAAGCTCGGCGTAAACGTAAACAAAGTCCCACGATTTTGAAATTTAGCCTAAATATTGGCAGACGGCACGTACACTTTGCGGCCATGCGATTACATCACACACATCACACGCCCGAATTTCTTGCACGGGCACTTGAATTATTTTATTTTAATTTTTCGTCGAGGTTGTCGGTGTCATTTTGAGGTTAAATAGGTCTATTGAACACCGGCGCTCGTTGAGCGTTTTATTACCTTAAATCCAATATTTATGCCGTTCGCATGCTTCGCTGGGTACGTTTTTTAAATGCGGCGAAAAGTTTTCTCGCAAAATGCCAACGAACGACCGGAGAAAGAGGAATTGCCATTGCGTTGCCCTGTTCTTGTTCTTCTTCGCACTACTATTCGCTCTGCGGCCGGCCAGAGGTGCCACCTGCTGCGCGGTGGCGATGCCCCATCGTCGAAAATAGTTCACTGTTAACGGCAAACAGTGCTGCAAAGCGATATCACACGTATTTAAAGAATAAAATATAAATTTATTTAAAGCCCTATGATTCTCTTTTTTTTACCCCACTTCTAAATTTTAAATTTACATATTTTTGAACGCACTGGCAATAAATTTCAAAAATAAATGCTTAAATACTTATCTCAAAACCATAAAATATTTCTTGTTAAAAAAAAAAAAATTCATAGTAATTACATATTATTTAAAACGTTTCGATTGGGATCAACTGAGCCCAACTTTAATTTTTACTTTATAATTAAACAAATACATTTACAAAATCGCAAACTTGTTTTGAACCTAATTGAATGTATCAAACTTTATTTTTTTTGCCAAGAATTGGCAACATCTGCGAGTGCTTGACAAGCAATAGTTATTATTTTGTTAGTCAAACAATCAAAATGTTTTTGGGTGGTAAAAATGAAAGTTAAAGAATAAATTCACTAAAAGGTGGTGCGTAATAATTAAATATAATATTTATCTAGCTATGGAATGACTTTATTTGACATTTTATTTTGTTTTCCTTTCAACATCTGCGACTGTTAGGCCAAGAAATATAGTTGCCCCTTAAGCAAACAATCTACAAAAAGTTAGACAACAATTTGTTCAGTGTCTATTGCCAATTTTCGCACTGGCAAAAAATCAACTGATTAAACAAACCGAACTTTCGTTGGGCTTAAAAATTCGTATAAATAAGCCGTGTGGTAGAATAACACCAATATTGCGAATTTGGTAACTACATAGAAGAGCAATTTAATTGATCACGATGCTGGCATGCAAATATCTTGTCCTGATCGCTGCAATTCTCTGCTGTTTGAGTGGAGCTCTGGCCGTAACCTGCGCAGACGATCCCTCGGATGCCAATTGCATCGATTGCAACACCGACACCACCAACGATGAGTGCACTACCACTACAACAACAACCACGGTGGCTCCAACTTCAACATCCACTTCAACAGCAGCGTCAGTAGCTGCGACTACGAAAAAACCCGGAAATGTGAAGAAGGTCACCATTAAGAACATGAAGTTCAAAGTCAAGAGGAAAATAAAGGTGGTCAAAAAGTCGGGATAAAAAAAAGAATTGAAAATCAGATGAAATAAATACCAAATTAAAATTAGCCAAGACGAGTTTTTATTATTAATGATTTCGGTTTTACATACCGCTTTAATCAAACGATATCGGGCTAAAACAGTGGCTTCGTTACTGTTCCATCTTCAAGACAAAACGACAAACGAAGCATTCTTTAGGGTGCAATTGGCGGATCCTGAATTTGAAATTTAGCTTAGCTCTAAAAAAAATAAACACACCATAATCTATCACCAATATTTTCGAAGCAATCCGTTCCGTATTTTTTATGTTAAGATTTAACAACATGTGTTTAAAGTTGACAAACAATATATATTAATATTAAACGAACGAAATGTTGTTTCTAAATGGTAAAAAATGTAAATTTAAGAAAATAATTTCAAATAACCTTGGCGGAATGACTTTGTTTCACATTTTATTTTGTTTTAATTGCAGCGACTGCGAGCGTTAAACTTACAAATATAAAAAACTTCAAAAAGTTAAACATAACACTGGCTTAAAAAATGAAATCAACAAAATGCTACACAGATAAAAGTTTGGTTTTCGGGTGCAGTTGGATTCCCTGATTGAGCACCAATCCTTATATAGAAAAGTTAAAGAATGGGCTGATTTTGGTTAAATACTTAACTGAATTAAAAAAAAAAAGCAGTAAACCATTAGAAACAATAAAATTACACTTTACAAAAAATGGTGATAAACAAAAAGGAACCTATGAAATCTTTAATCTCTTTTCGATTTTGATTAATTAAACTTTGTAAGCCAGTAAGCCATCATCGCAGATGGCAGATGTTGTTTTGTTTTTTATACCCTTGCATAGGGTATTATAATTTAGTTAGATATACATGATCGAATGGTATTTAAAACTTTGTCGAGATCTAGCAGATGGCACAAGTCCTTTTATAGGGAAGATTAAGAACGGGCTGTGTCTAGTTAAAAAAGCTTTTGATACACCCAAGGAAAAATAAATAGGCAAGCAAACAGACGTACATACGTAAATTAAATTTAAAAAAATTCATTCATCTCTGAAACATTCATCTCTGAAAATTTTTTTCGCATTAATTTTGTAAGCCAGTGTAATTTGATGAGCTCCTATTGCCAATTTCCGCATTTGCGAAAAAAGAAACAATTGATTAAACAAACCGATCTTCCGTTGGGCTCAAAAATTCGTATAAATAAGCCGGGCGACAGATTAACACTAATATTGCAAATTTGATAACTACATAGAAGAGCAATTTAAGTGATCACTATGCTGGCGTCCAAATATTTTTTCCTGATCGCAGCGTTTCTCTGCTACTTAAGTAGAGCGCTGGCCGTAACCTGCGCAGATGATTCCACAGATGCCAATTGCATCGATTGCACCACCGACCCCACCAATGAGGAGTGCACCGAACCTACAACAACAACAACAACCACGGTGGCTCCACCATCAACTTCCACTACAACAGCACGCACACCACATCTGAAGGAGGTCTCCATTAAGAACATGAAGCTCAAAGTCTTAAGGAAAATTAAGCGGGTCTTCGGGCTAAAAAGCATATTAAAAATCAAATAAAATAAATGCCTAATTACTGTAACTAAGTTATTGAAACATTAATTACTTTGGTTTATACTGATTTTATTATAAAATATCGGAAAAAAACACTGCATACATCTAGGCGTTTTTTACTCAAGCTTATAGAACTTATTTGTAAGAATTGAAAGATATGCACATAAATGTCAGTCTACACATGGGCGTTCCCCGATCGAAATAATAAATAAGCTTTGAAATTATCATAATTAATCTGTGATTTAAGCAATCAATCTTGATCCAACATTAAATAGAGTTCCAAAATTCAAGCTGAATAATCTTCTTTGGCTACTTTAAATTCTATATACCCCTGTTTTCCACGATTTGCGTTTCTTTGTACTTTAGGAAGGATCGATCCCCGGTCAGAAATAGTTCTTCTTTGGTGCGAAAAAAAGGCACACCTTCATGTCAAAAGTATATTTTAATAAATGGTAAAATTTAATTCTCACAAAAGTTTTTATTATTTGTTATTTAAAACCAATTTTTACTTCTAATCCGCGTGATGAAAGTGCTAAAGAAGTTACGAATTCTGCCGATTCGGGATCTCTTGGTGGTGGCCGTGGTAAAGGGGGCAGCAGTAGTGGTTGTGGCCCAAAGTCTCTGAAGACACTCAACATGAGTGGGATACACTCGGCAGTCGATGCAGGAGGAATCCGTGGGTGCCACATCGCAGGTAACCGCAGAACCGTCATCAAGGAAACAAAACACGGCTAGGAACAGCAAGATATACCTCGAACCCACCATTTTTACCAATTACTTTGAGACGACTAAAAAAATGTGACTAAATCTAATTCTATAAGTCAAAGAAATGCGGTTAGAGCAAACCAATTCAAAGATTAATGTTTGTTCAGGTGTTTTGTAGATAGAATTAGCTTTAAATATCAGCTTTAGCGCGTAATAGTGGGAATAACAATATTCTTTAACACACTTAAAGGGACGGGTATTATTACCCATGCGCAATGTTGCTTTTACATATTTACATATTATAATAATTATTGTATTAATGTTATTTTTTATTTTAAAATTACATAAAACGTATTAATAAAAAACAAGATTTGTTGTAACGTTAATCAAAACTCTCTCATATCTGGACCTAACTATTTTCCTTATCTAAAAATCACTAAAACAAATAATGAGTCCCAAAAGGTTAAGTAGAATAAGATTCTTTATACTTTAAAAATTTGAATTTCTAACTTTTTCCCTTGAACAGAAACACACAGTTCTCTTTCATTCAGCTCTTTCTCTTTCTCTTCAATTTAAAGAGCTCAAATCTACATACACATATGCAAACGACGCCAAAGCGCGCCAAACTTTTTTCGCCCCCTTCCCACAAGTTGTTGTTGTTATTTTGTTGCTGGTCGTCCGCTGCTCTGCTTTTATTTTTATTGCTCTGCGATCCAAAGCGATCCGCTCCGCTTCTCTTTGGTCCGCTGGGCAGAAAAGCAGAAAAAGCAAACAGCCAACGAGCGGCGGCTATTTAATTTTCGTTTTGGTTTTGGCGTGGATCGGATCGGATCGGTTGGCCATAGCCTCCCCGAATATATGTGTATATATACGCCGGATTTTGGACTGCGAGTGCAGCGGAAAAACTGAAAAATTAAGAAAAGTACTCGTGACTGGAATTCCGCATTTGTTTACCGTTGTGTGTTTGTGTTACTGATACATTTTGTGTGTTTTTTTCTGCTCTGGAAAAGGGAAAACATTCGAGATTGGATCAACAAGAGCAGTGCGCCACCTACCGGCCACAGTGCGTAAGTTTGGAATAAGGAAATCAACTATTTATTTTTTCAAAATAATAACAACAAAATGGCAGTGCAAAAATCCGAAAAGTGAACAAGAAAAAAGTAACCGCCGTTCTTTTGACAGACGGCGACGACATAAAATGTCAAACTGTCGATCAACATCAAGGCGAAATATGCAAGATGCGTGTCTTAACTGCAAAGGAGGGCTTCATAAATGCTTAATGCTAAATGCTGTTGCAAATGGTTGCCATTTATGCAATCTGCGAGTCCGAACTCCCCCCACACACCCGCCCCTTTTAATCTCACTGCTGATCTTCGCGCTACGCGTTTTGTATGCCTGCTCTTCTCTGGAATGCGTTTAATTCGAATTTGAATTTCATCGCTGGCGCGGGATGCACGTATAAAAAAACCGTAGACTCAGATATAAAAGACACTTTTTAGTTACATTCCAATTTTGGTATCACTACAAGCATTATTTTTTGGTTAAATATTTTTTTTTAGCATGTTGCACATTAATGTTTCGTTTGTATAATAATTAAGTATGAAATTAGATTACATAAGTTCTTTAGAAATATAAGTCGAACAGTAAAAACTGAACCAGGCACCCAAATCCGAATTCCAGTAAAAAGGTTTAAAGTAAAGATCTTCCAGTGCTAATAAACCTTAAAGTTTTGAATTCAAGACACCACGAAGTAAATTAAAAATAAATAAAACATAATATCTAATATTTTCTCTCTGTGTCTGCTTATTCTTCTCGGCGAGGCTGCTGGTGTTTTGCTTTCGCTTGTTTTTACAACGCAAAACACTTGTCCGCCGGCCTCCAAGTCGTTGGGAAGAAATCAAAACTCGCAACTTTAATTAATATTCCACACACTGCCCAACACATATAAACTACAGGCACACACATTCCTCGCACAATGTTGTTTTTGTGCTCACCAGTCATTGTTGTTGCATAGATTCATTTTATTGCATTTCACTGCTTTTATTTCTTGGTCATTTTGTGTTTTGGTACCGATCGCATAAGTTATTGTATCGGGATTTTTGGCTCGGCACACGACTCAGTCGAGAATTAAGTTGGCTTTTTATGGAGAGCAATCCGTAAGGTAATCCCTCAAATCGGTGTGAATACTGTACAGAATGTGAATAAATTTTGACTATTTTTGGAGGGAATTTATGCAAAATCATTTGAGATTTTTACGATTTTATGTGACTGGAAAATTAAGAGTTTGACGGAATTTTGAAAGTGCAAACCCTCTACACATGTTTCTAACAGAAATTCTTTGTGTTTTTTGTAGGGACTTTGAATATTGGGTTTTTTTCACTTAATATCCTTATTATCTGTTCTTAAATTGGTACATATATATATATATATATATATATATATATATATATATATATATATATATATATATATATAATCTTACAAATTCCTAGATAAAAGTGGGAAAATGTTTTATAACATAAATAATACTTGGATTCCTTTATCATCAATTAATTCCAACTATTTTTGAAACTGAAACACCCGGCTTTCTCTGTGCCAAATTCTTTACCCGCTTATCATTGGTCCGTGTGTACCATCTGTTTTTAATTCCTCGAAAGCAAATGGCATTAATTTGACTACTCGCCAGCACCTGAGGAACGCATGCCAAACCAGACCCAGATGTTTCGAATGGGGCTAAAGATAAAAATCGTCAAAGGGGGCGGCTAAATTATTGGGTTCATTCAAATGCAAATGCAACAGGTTGTGAGCGATGTGCCGTTGACAGACTTCTGACAAATGAAAACAATTGAACTAAATTTTAATTGTTGGCCATATTCATTGTGGCCGTTGGCCTATGAAAATTCATTCATTTAACGAGCTCATCGAGGTCTTTATGCGCTTGTCAACAACTTTGTATTTATGTGCTGTAAGTGGCCAAAAAGCGAGGCTCGTAAAACGTGCGTGCCAGCGCCACTGAGTCGGTGGTTTCGACGGCTTCGACGGTTTCGGTGGTGCTCCTGGTTTCAACTGGTGGTGCACCCACATATCGCATATTTTTGGCACAAATTCGAACGCTTGGCTGATCGCGATAAGCGGAAAACCGAATAAAATAAAAACATCGACGACACAAATGCTAAATGTGACAAGGGGGAAAAAAACGTATTTAACATTGCAAACATGAGAAATGTCAGAGTGAAATCCATCAAAATGTCAGACAGCACACAAGATTCTTGGGAATTTTGCAAATACAGCACGTTTCAGAAATTTGAGGCAAGGGGAAAGTTTGTTTTACAGATTTTAAGGTGGTAATTTCTCATAAGCAAATATTTATTTATTTATACATATATACAAAAAAGAAAAGTTATTCGTTAGAAAAACATTGATATTGAAATTTTGTTGTATTGAACATATTAAGTTGAGAATAAACAATTTGATTGTTTTAATGATAATTTAATAATCAATAAAATATTATACCTAATCAATGATTCATTTCAGAACATTTCCATAATTTAAAATCCTCAACTTATAGCGAGAATGATTAATTTTAAGTTTAGCGAAATGAGTTGTCCGAAAGCAAACATATTTTCCTGTTAAGAATGCAATGTTTGTGTGGGTGGAATGAAAATGTTTTTGCCGTACAACATTGCGTATGCGTGTTGGCTTTTTTCCTCTTTTGTCTATTTGTCTCTCTCATTTCGCGTCAGCTGTTTGCTGTGCTACATTTTTCCACAGCTGCTCTCGCTGTCTTTTAATTTGCTCCAATTTTCTTAAATTTAAATTTAAGCATATGCAATGTGAGGAATTCACTTAAGGAATGTACTCTTTTTTTATAAATAAACTAACAAGAGCTCAATTTTATTTCTGCGCCTCTCTTCACCCGCTCTTTACTAGATTTCGCTACTCTTTGAAAGCTTTCTCCCTCTCTTTCTTAATTGAAATTTTTTGTTTTGGTCGTCCAGCAAATTATTTTAATTGTTTACAAACGATCCTATTGTTGTTGCGCACATAAATTTGCTTCTCTCCGACGCTGACGTATTTCTTTTGGCTGGGGCATATTTATTATAAATTTTATTGGCATCGTTTCCAAGCTCGACGGCCAGCGATTTCAATTTTTGAATAACTTAATTTTTTTTGTTTCTTCATTGGCCATTTGACAAATTCGAAAAGCGAAAAGCGCGCTGCGAACGCTTCAATTGATTTATTCGATTGTATTCAGTATCGTGTGGCGCTCAATTGCAAAACTCTTGGCCAAAGCGGCGCAAACGATCTTGTAAATTGCCCACTCGTCAATCGTCAATCTTCTGAATCGCTGATCGTCGCTTTTGCCGCGCTTTGCTCCGTGTGTAAGTGCAGTTTTCGATGCGATTTATACGTGCTCAGTTCATAAAATAAACTCTATTAACCATTAAAATAAAAACATTAAACTTGTGTTTTAATGAACTTCTAAAAGCAAGAAGTTATTTATATTTTCATTGAGAATAGAATTGCTCAAAAGATAAGATCGAAATTAATATTAATGTGATTAATATTTTTTACATTTTTGTTATGCTTTTAACAAAATGTATACATAAAATTATTAAAAGAAGCCTTTTAAAATATTTTTAGTTTATAAAAGCTATTTGTGTGTTTACCAGGTTAAAGGTACTAAAATATTTTGTTTGTATAATTTGGTTCTATTATGGGAATGGTGAATCTATTTTATCGCTATAATTTTAAGATCTATTATAGCTCATATGTGTCCTTTTATAGGGAATAAAAACTTTGTGTGAAAGTGTGTTAGTATTTATAGATCCTATTTCCTATTAATAGACAATTTCAGCACTATTTTGCTAGTCGAAATTCTTTAGAATTTGTTTACTTCATGCAAAGTGAGATTAATTAACCACTAAATGAGAACAATAGAAATTTCACGTGAATCTGCAGACAGGTGCCAAAAGCAATGGTGTTGGGATGGGATTTAATGAGAAGTCTTGGCAGTTCACTCCCCCGGGACGACTGTCTCCGCGAATGGTTGTGCTCCACTTGATCTTGGGTTTTTTTTTTTGGGCTGGCTGCTGATGGATGTCGCCACGGGCACATTAATCCCGCTTCATGCTCGGACTGATGTCGATGTTGCTGCTGTAGTTGCTGATGTTTCTGATGTTGCTGCCGCTGCTGCTGCTGTTGCCGCTGCTGGCAACGTCGCATTTACCTAAATTGGAATATCCGGTAAAACGTAATGAAAATCGTAGCAATCAAGCCGAAAACACACACACATGGGCATTCAAAGGGGGGCGATCGAAGGGGGAGTACTCTCACATTGATATGCAAATGAATGTCACCATCTTAAATGAAATAATCGTCTTAAACGAAGGCAGAGTAGCAGCTGCCCCAGCCAGAGGCGCAATCTCATCCCCGATTCGGTTCCAAACTATATGCTTTAATTGCTTTCCTCGCTTCTCTGCGAAAATGAGAGAGAATCGAGGCCTTTTACGAGCTTTTTAATGACTTATTTACTTAATAATTCCATCTTTAATGGCTTGTAAAAAGCATCTAATATATTCCTTAGTTTTTTTCAATGTCATTCCAAATACAAATTACACCCTATTTATTCACTAAATTTAGATACTCGTGAGTAAACAATACGTGAAGAAAAGCGCATACTTTAAGAACTATTTTCTGGTTCGATGAGCATTTCCAATTGGGTTACAAAGTTGTAAACAATAAAATGCTGTCTATATATAGAGAACGCTTTTCTTGGCAAAAGTTTTCTTGTAACGTCTTTTTTTTTTTGATATTATAAAAATAATTTTTTAGAACACTCTTTGCAAATAAGAAGGATTGTTTTTAATATATGAATGTATAATGTTTAGTCCTGAAATATTAAAACTAATATTCTAAGTATGTTTTGATTCAGGAAATCTAAAACCCATTCGAAAACCAAAGATTTTCTAAAATATTTTTAAATTTCTTTAAGAACCAAGAACATTTTCTTTTTCAACTCAATAAAAGCTAATAAACTTTCAAACATAAATTCATAAACACTAAAAATAAATAACTTACTGACTATGTGCAAACGGATTAATATACAAGTGTTTGGTTGTGCAATCAGAAGGCAAACTAATATGAATTTTGTTAGGAAGAAACCAAGAGAAACCACAAAAACATTCTTTAATACATTTGACTGACCGAAAAATCAAAACATTTTTTGTATCAAGGTTTCGACACAAATCCGATTCGAATACACATTTTTATGCGGATAGAAGGGGCCCCCCATTCGAGTCGAGTAAAATGGTCGAGCGTTGATGTATTGATGCCAACGATTGCGAAGTTCATCAAAGGGAATGGGGACTTTCTGGGGGCGGGGAAGAGTTTCTCGCACCAAATCAGAATTGAAATCAATATGCTGAGCGAATGTGAATTGACTTATAAATAAGAAATATGCCAATAAAAATATCTGTGGCATTTCGGAACGAGCCACGAACGAGACTTCCAACTAGGGAGTCAAGTACAAATTGCCGCTGGGCATGTGTGTGCATTCCGTGGATATTTTATGGCCCTTGTACTTAATAATTTAATGTACTAATTGCGGTTTGTGGTCACTGGGGCCTGTCACACTCTAAACTGGGCTAAAAGGAAGTTGTAAACTGGCAGCATTCAAACAAAATGCTGGGCTGACATAACAAAAGCCAAAACTCTGCGAGTGCATCTCTAAAAATAATTAATAAAACAGTTCTGGGGTGGTGCATTTCCGGGCGTGATTTTGGGGGGAAATCGGAAAAGTTTCTGCTTCCGTTGGGAGTTTTCTATTGAGTTTCCTTTCAAACCGTTAGGCTAAAGCCCACTCTTTGCTTTTCCACTGTGTACTTTAGTTTAAATTCCCCCCATCCAAACAATATTTATGGTTTCTGCTGCTTTTCGTGCTTTGCCATGCGCATATTTAATTAAATAAATTTGTTTAATATTAATTGTTGTGCTTCCCTATCTATTTTCTATGGTCCGCAGGTCTCCATCCTATGAATGTGTCCAAAACTTTGACGTATCCGCCGGAAGCGCCTTAACTGGCCATAACAAGTGCAAAGCCCAACAGGTGGAGAGACTCCCCAAATCGAAGAGGGCATTGCGTATTGAGAAACAAACCAAAACTATACACCAAGAAGACTTTTCCAGCAATTATCATAGGGAAGGAACCATTATGTCTGTGGGTGAGTACAAGAATAATTGGAATCTCGTAAAAAATGTCACTTGGGGATTTATGATCTGGGAATCGTGGGGTCAAATTGTGTATGGAAATAATATTTAATGTAAACTAAACAGTATTAAGATGGACTTGGTATAGGAGCTTGATATACATTCTTGCAACTTATATATTTAAAAATGTCATTTTCGTTTTAAGATTATATAACATTAAAAGATAAAGCACGAATAAGTGTGCCTTTTGAATTTAAGAAATGGTCACAAATGTTTTTAGTTAAATATAAAATACACACTTGTTCGCGTCATATATTTATTTAGTGTTAACTTAAATATTAAATATACAATTTTGAATCAATTAGCCAGGTATTAATTTATACTATTCCGTTATTTGATCAGTTTACTCATTTATTTAGACATGTTAGTTTAATCAATATTATGGAATATCGAAAACTTTTTTTAAAACATCCAGCTAAAAATGTAAACATTCCCATTAGTAAATGAACTTGTCCACGCTCTAGAAAACAATGCTTCGGGTTTCGGGATCCCCTTTGTAGCGCTGCATGTCCAGAACACAACATAAACATGACAAACTCGTTCACGCCCCGAGCTCACTTGACACCAAATCAAGCCGAGCTGTCCGGGTTAGTCGGAGGAGGAGTTCTCCACTCCTCCACCGTGGCATTCCTAATGATCATGATCGGCCCACGAAACTACTGTGAAAGTGGACTGAATGAGATGCATTTCAGGGCGCACACACAAGCACGCATTGGCAATTTCCCAGAACGCCAACGCATTTATCTTACGAACTCGAACTCGAACGATTAGTCCGGGGGCCAGCGAACTGGAGCAATCCACTTAAGGTTGTCCCCAAGCGGAGACGAAAACCCAAACAAACAACCGGGCGGGGCCAAGATCGTGTTCTGGGGTTAGTCTCCTATCTGGAGGCTGGTGATATGGCCCACCTAAAATCGGCAAAGTGCGATCTTTTTCCCAGGGAAAATAGTGCTAGAGTATCCATTAGATATCCAGCGAGGGTGGCGGAGGTCATCCGTCAATTTGTGCGCCGAGCAGTCATAATGGAGCTGGAAATAAATAACAAATCAAATGTCGGGCAACATCTAATTAGTCAGATTTTGGAGGCCTGTATCCGTATCTGAATCTGTGTTTGTGTATCTGCAACTCACCCCCCTCGTGGCGTTTCTTTCCTTTTTTGTTAGTCTTATTTATGTCTGTTGACTAGAACAAATAATCGGGCAGCTGATATGGGAAATGGCGCAATTAAAATACAAAACACAAACTCCCCGAGATGCGGCCAAAGAGAGAGAGAGATATGTAGAGCCGTCGTGGTCCGCTGCCCGCATCCATAAAGTATTCTTATAAATAGTTTTTGTCCCCGCTGTCTATGTAAATCATTCATTAAATCTGCATTGAATTTCGTCCATTCATTCAGCTTATTTGCGCTTTTTAATTGCACTCGTTGGGAGTGGAGTGGAGTGGAGTGCTGGCTGTGGCTGTTTACATTCTCTTTAGGGCGATTTTAATGATCACTCATTCAATTCATTGTTCATCGCGTATTGGCAGGTCTGGGGTGACTGAAAAACGCTTTAGTTTCTCTCAGTTCATTGACTATATTGTTGATTGGAAAACAATTCCTTTATATTTGGCTTAACACAATAGATCTTAAAGTACCTGAGAAAAAAAGCCTACATACAAATTCAAACAAAATTAGAAATTAATTTTATATTAACAACAAGTCCATCCTAAAAATAAAAATTAATTAATTAAAATACTAGCTTATAAATTCAGACAAACTTGAAATATTAATTATAAATCAATAACAAGTAAATCTTAGAATTATTTACTGAAATATTAATTAATTGAATATTAAAAATAAATACAGTCATATATTGAATTACAAATTGTGTAACTAATATTTAAATAAAGTACGAAAATCATAGCGAAAATTAGACAGTTATTTGATTTCCTTGAAAGCCACATAAATATCTCTTAAACTGATCATTTTTCACAGACACTGCACATTTCAATTTCGTTTTTCTACGTCACTATCCTTGACGTAAGTAATTGAGTTTCCATACGCAAATAATTTTGCGAATTTTACAATAATATTGAGTCATCCCACTCAGTGGATGATCCATACCTTGTTCTGTTGTAAGGCAGACGCACCTAAAATACCAATTATACTTTGCGTAAATATTTACGCAAATTAATTTTCACTTGTCGGCGGAATCGTCTTTTGTTTTGCCAACATTCCTCGCCGCTTGTCTGGCAACTTGTGGCAGTCGAAGATAAAGAAATCTATTAAGTCCGCCGGCCAGACATTGGCAAAAGTGGACCAGAGACCCAATTGGCCGCTCCATGGTGTCTCTCATTGCCGGCGAGGACGTCATATCGTTCAATACATATATTGTTTACGCAAATTCCCATGTCATGTGCTTAATTGTGAATATCGGCAGTTGGCTGGGGAAAATCGTTGATTATTTTATGGCTCAATTTCTTCCGCGAATCACTTGTGAGCTGGCTGACTTATGGGAATCCACTCACCAACTGAAAATGCAGCCAGACAATCCCTCTAAAAATACTTCCGAAGACATTAGATGTCGCCAGACATATTCATCTGCTGCAAATGATTCTTCATAATTGAATTACATGGCCAGAGACAAGAGCGTAAAAATTTTAATTACACACCTCATAATCAGGGTCCCAAACAGCAGCGTTGAGTGCGGAGGAGCCGATCTGAGTGGGAGTTGGGTTGCTGATGGAAATGGGAATGGGAGTAGTTGTCTAGGGCAGACATGGTCCTCGGCTGACTGCGAGTCCAGAATGTTGATCAAATTTCGTAAGCGAAATCCAGAGATGCATGTCGAGATTTAGCGCAAATTGCGTGGGTTTAGTTGGCCTGCGTTCCCGGTAATATGTCCCTAAGTCCAAACTGCACAACGCAAATTTATGTCGACAGCTTTGAGGAAGTACAGCATTTTAATATGAGAAGAATTACAATAACAATTGTATTAAAAAATGCATTTGACAACTGAATATGTCTTAGAACAAAATAAAAGTGAAAAATATAACTTCAACCGAATTTTAATTCGATATATTCTGTTAAAATGCTAAAGTAAAGTAAAGTATCCTCCAAGTGAGTGTCGTACTCCTCTTGAAGATCTCCTATTACAAGTGCAGTCACAGCTAAATAAATCAAAAGTTGTCTTTTCTTGGGGCTGCCTAAAACAAGGAAAAAAACGATCCTAAGTGCAAAGCGTTACGAGATCAACAACATCATTATAAACGTCATCGGAGACACTCTAGAAAATTTAAAGAATCGTAGCTAGGGGATCGAAAATAGGAGAGTGGAATGCGGTGGCGTAATTAATGCGCCACTGATCCTCTGGGGTATGCCAATTGACATTTAACATCAACCTGTGGCTAGCTGCAATGCAGCCACAATGGACCCCATAAAGTTGTGTAATCTCCAAGAGATTCGTTCACCCCGACTTGGACGCCTTGGAGCAACTGCGCAGAAAGATTTCCTGAATAAATCGCTTCCTTCTCCGCCGGCAACCGAAGTAGGTAAAAAACTAAAAAGACACGCGCTCCACGGTGGAGCAGGGGATGAAAATTGTACGGGGACTTGGCACGGGGATGTTACACTGAAACTATAATATCACAAAATCGAAGGATTTTTTAAGCTAATCCGGACATTATAATTTGAAAACTACTGAACCAATCTTTCTAGAAATTAAGTTGTTAATAAAAACTGTGTCCTAAAAAAAACTCAAAAATAATAATCAATTTAAATTCTTTTTATGTTTTAATAATTAATATTTTCAACCTAGATTTAAATAGTAAGTTTTCCGCTAGTGTAGACTTCGACTTTTCTGTTTTTGGCTCGATGTTTTTTGTTTTTCACGGAAGACAACGTTGTCATGTGCTCGGTGCGAGTTTCCATTAAGAAAATAATTAAACATTTGCCGTTGTCCAAAGCCCGAGATGTTCGGAGACTGACAGGACCCGACTTTGGCATCGAATTGAAATCTGTTGAACAGATGTGGCCGCCGATGCTGTTGTTGTTGCTGTGGCCATAGCTCGGGGATTTATGAACGACGAGCGCATTTTATGCATTTCCAAACACCTTTCGGCACAGGGCTTATAAATAGCATTTGGTATTTGGCAACAATGGGTTAAAAGTCCGCCGCCCTCCGGCATTTCGATCATGTCAACCGCAACAGCGACAAATACAAGACATGCTGGCCATAAAACCAAGATCATAAAAGTGTTTATTTGATTTCTGATTGCATCTCCAACACCTCTAGTAGCACTCCCTCCGCAGGTAGAGGCTGAAATCTACCCATCCCAGAGCCCTCACCTTTCTCCCTCTGCTTTCACTTCCTGATCACATCGCTTCCCTTTTGATTTTTGAGGGCTTGTGTTTTGGTAATGTCCCTTTTGTCTTCGGCATTTCCGTTGTGGATTTTTCTCGAGTGGCTATTAAGCATGGAGTGCACGTGCCCGATTCCCGAACCTTTCATGGCCAACTATCGAATTTTGTTTTGGAATTTTTAATTACTAATCCTTGGGCGCATCCTTCATTTCGCAAGTTGTTTGTCCCTCGAGAGGGCTGCTTCTCAGTTTTCAGGCCACTTTACTTCCGCTGGGCCCACGTCTCCGTCTCTCTGAATTCTCTGATCTGAATCCGTGGGCGGAACTCTTCACAACTATTTTATGGACTTTTGTTATTTTTTGGTAGTTCCCTGACATGGGGTTGGGGAGGGGGAAAAAATAACACTTTGGGATATGAGTTTTATTGGTTTTTAAAGCAGGCGATTTGGTCCAGAGCCCGTTTTATGAACTCTATAAAAATAAATCAAAGACAGAAAAAATTACCAAAAATGTTGGTCTTAAAACAAAGGAAAATTAAATGTAAACACCTAGTACTGCTTTGAGAAAAGAGAAAATTAGATTCACAAAATGGTATACATTGTTTGTTTTGCAACATAATTAATCAAATTATTCTTTGTCCAAAGCAAATCCGAATAAAATGGCTTACTGCTTAACATTTTCTTTTCTTGCATCAAGTTTTAATTAATACCTTAAAATATAAAAAAAAACTTGGTAAACATTTCCAGATAACGCGCTGTGGAAATGCATTTCCGAGAAACCACTCGCGAGCACCTGCCACAAAACGGGCATAAATAATTTTTCATAACAATATAATAACAATAATAATTATGGGGCCCCCTGCTGACTTCGCGTCGCGCCATGTTGCCAAACTTCCGGGCAGACATCCATATCCATATCCCCTGAATTTCCCTTTTTCCCCCCTGAAAATCGGTGCGTTTTGGTACCCCTGCCTGGAGCTGCCCCTTTGGGGTTAAATCATAAAAACTGGAAAATAATAAACAAAGAGTTTCAATTGAACGTGAAGGAAAACTCGTAGTGCACATAAATGATTCAAATTTTGTGTACCGTGCGAGGGTCGTAGGCGGTAGATGGTATGACTACGCGGAATTCAAATGAAAATGTCTGAGTAAATAGGAGCAAACTACGGCAGCAAAATAAATCCAACAGAATGAAAACAATGCACGCAATATTCCTGCAAGTGGCAAACAAATGTTGGCCCTTTCACATATGTTTGTGTATAATTATATATCTGCATAAAAAGGGGTGTGCCAGTGAGGAAGGTCTTGTCTGGCCAATCGATGGCAAGGCAATTTACGACAACAATATGGCAAATCAAAAATTCACAATTACGCATTTCCCCCACTCACTAGGTTTTCCAACGCTTTCTGTCTTCCTGTTTGGCAAAAGCCCTTCCTGGTCACATTTCCATTCGATGGCTGCTATTTTATGGGTGTATATTTGTTCAGGCCATTTAGGGCTGTCTTTCCAATCGGTTTTATTGCTCTGTAATTACTTGTTCAATATTGTCTTTGATCAATGCGGAACTAACAGGGAACGAAGGAAGTATAAATAAATAAATACTTGTATATATCGTACACTATAACAATGGAAGTTTTAATCTTAAGCTTTGTCGAAACTATTTTTCAACTAAAAAATTAGTTTGGAAATAATAACAAATTCTGTTAAATTATTAAATTTATTTATATCAGAGACCGCTGTTACAGAATCCTATTTAATTTTTTAAAGATTTTTTAAAAATGTTTCACAAGGATAACCAAATTTGCTTGTGAAAACCTAGTATTTGTATAATTTTAAAATTCTTTGGCTTCTAAGAGCCCTTTTTTGTTTACTGGAGTATGCCAAAAGTGACCCCACAGAAAAACAATCACAAAGGGATTTATATTGAACTAAAGGCAGTGCGTAGCAGTAATTAACCTGTCAACGCCGTGGAACAATCAGCGAGAGTGCAACGAATGGCGACCAATGCCGAAAGCCGGGCTGCAATGCTCCACTCTGTGACTAACTAGACAAAGCTGCGTGGCAGTAGAGCGACTACAGATTTACGACTCAACAGTTGAATCCAGTTCCCTGCTCGCCCTCCCCCGTGTCCACGGAACACGTGGAGCGTGCTGGCGAAGACAAGCATTTGACATTTATGTGCAGGCAAATGCATTTCCCCAAGTACTTGAACAAGGCTATCGGCTGCAAGTACCCGAGCGCGGTTCAAGATCATTTGCATCCACCAGCAGCCAAACAAATACGAAGGCACTAGAAGAAATAATTCGTCGTACTACAGTACAAAGAATGTTCGTAAAAAGACAGCTCATCTTCTTAAAAGTTGCAGCACATCTTACAGCATAAGAAATAATTATTTTGACTAAATTAAAAATTTCATAAACTAAAACAGTGTAATTTAAAATTAAAATGTACATTAAAAACCAAAGTAGTTACTCGTTCAAAAATTGAAAAACATTTTCCTAAAAACTGTTAAAAAAATTCTTTAAAAATACATAATAATAAATACTTAAGGCAGAATAACTTTCAATTGAATTCCCATTAAAGCATTATCAAGTTATTTTCCCAGTGTACCCTTGCCGATTCACTTGCTTTGCAGAGAGCCACTCAAAGATCAACCCTCGCTGGCAGACTCTTGCCTTTATGGACTACGAAATGTGCAATTTCTGCTCGGGTCCCGACTTTTACGATTTTTCCATAGGTTCCAATGTGCCGGGCATCTGTCTATTCGGGGTTAGTTGGCCCAGTATCCGATGGTGGGCCTAGGCTCGTTTCTAGACCCAGTCCACTTAGGAATTCCACGGACAGACCACATGGAGTCGCTCTGGAGTCACTCGCATTTTGCCACTTCAGTTTTTCAGTTTTCCTAGTTGCGTTGGAGAAAAGTGAAAATGTGTTCCCTTAGCACAATTGTTGCTCTCCCCTGGTTGCAATTTTTTGAATATGGCTTTTCCGATGTGTACATTTTTTGCCTTTGATGCTCTCAAGTTTCCCCTTAATGTGCCTGGAATATGTCGCCTGGCCATAGCTCTTATTATGGCCGTCTATTTTCGGCCCATCATTGATGACAATTTTCATGTTTGCAGCAAAGTCGAAGGGGAAATGTTGCAAATATTCTGAGACAATAGAAGGGAAAGGCAAAATATACCTTGCTACCAGAAAATTATTTACAGTAGGGATTCGATTTTTGTTCAGACTCTTAAACTAATATCTATAGTCTTAATTTTCCTTGCTTAAAGTATTTCAGTTTCTTTATAATCTCAGACCATAGCCAATCGAAAGTACTACTTTGCTTGATGAATGCTGTGCAACTGTTCCTTTTCCATCAATCTTTTGAATACATTTGTTTTGGTGTTATTAATTTCGTGTTTTTTTCCCATGGCATATCAAAAGAATAACTCTCCCACCGCTCGGCGAATGTGAGTTCTCAGGGTGCCTCCCAAAAACCGTCTCATAAATGTTTCCTGACACAGAACATCATCGAATCGTCGACGAACCCAACCACAGACAACACTCGGCTGACAAACTCAAACTTTGACACTGATAGGACGCGGGGAATACTAAACCGGGAGCTCACCTCAGATGTTGTATGCTACTACATATGCATGGGTCTTGGGTCTTCTATTTTTGCTATCGGAACTCATCAAATATGCGCGACGAGACCAAGACAAAACGTACGCACACGGATGGAAAATGGGAAAGGGATTCGAAATCATGGACTCAGAACGCTGGCGTTGATAATTTGATCATGCGAAAAGCGCACGCAAAAGAAAAACATGCGCAGGTACAACAACAAAGTTGTTGCAGTCGAGGAAAAGTGAGTTTTCCTGATCGACGTTGGGTTGATGGGGAAGGAGGGGGATTACAGAGTGGGTGATGGCAATATGGCAACCATATTTAAACACTGATCCCGTATGCGAGTGTGCGTGCGCGGGAGGGAGCGAGAGGGGGCGAGAGTGCAAGGGAGAGGGACAATGTTTTTATGCTGCTACTGATGAATGCACTGGAAAGAAAATTATAAATAAGTTAAAGAGTCCAATTTTATAGATAATTATTATAACAATAATACCAGATATCAAAAATGGCATATTTTAATATTTTATAATATTCGCTTGGAGAATTTAATCGTTAGCGTTAGATATTACCTTCGATAAATAAATGTACAAAAATAAATTTTATACAAGTTATTTTTTTTAGCTGCGTATAACTTCTGAAGATATTCAATTTTTTTTAATATTATTTCAAAAATGTTCTTAGATATTTTTCTTTTTCTTATTCTTTTTTTTAATCTAATAGAGTTTTGAGAAGTGAGATAGAATTTCGAAGCATATTTTTCTCAGTGTGCTCTGCACGTTCATGGAATGGATGAAGAAGCGAGCGCTTGGTAAATAAAAACCAAAACATGAGGAGGGATTCTCTGCGCCGGCAGAGGCGGTGGCAGAGGCAGAGGCAGCGGCGATGGCGGTGGCAGAGGAGAATGCAGACGGAGCGGAGTGTTTTGTTCTCGTTGAAGTTTTAGAATTTATTCCGTTTCGGGATGTCAATGCAGACGCACGCGCTGCGCGACCTCAAGTGAAGTGAAACTCCAAGTTGGACAAACACGAATCTGCAATACCGCCTGAATTTGAATACGAATTTGAATTTATTTGCCGCGTTAATCAACTGACAATTGTGCTCTTCGCCGCCCATTTTTGGCAATCATCGCTGTGTTTTCTGTTTTCGTATTTTTGAATTTGCACCCTGTGCGCAACTTTTGGCGTGTGCGCATGCGCAGCCAGTGAAAGTGCAAATGCATCGCAAATCACAGCTCTGATTTATTAGAAACTTTTTGCATACTAAAGAAGGAAAGATAACTGCATACACGATCTCAAGATGTTTGTCACTGTGGATAATACAAACACCTTTTTCTCAGGTAAAATTGGGAGTCATATGGAATTTATAAAAATTATAATACAATTTGGTCACAAATTGTTTAATCATATTTTAGCTGTCTCTCTAAACTCCGAATTAACTTACATTTTAATTGAATTGTTGATGGTATTACCAAATAAACTAAGGCATAAGCATGTAATTATATAATTTAAGAAAATTTTAAGGAATTCGTAGAACTTTATCACTCTTGTTATAAAAAAGAATACTTCTTTTAATTTAAATTTGCGAATTAATGTTATTATGCTATCAAAGTTGTAAATACAATATTTTTAGCCTCGTTATTTTATGTTATTCAAAATTTTTAAAATTAAAAAAAACTAAGAACTTTACAAGGAAAAGTAAATAGTGAGTAGTTCTGTATTTTCTGTTATACAAAACATTTCAAGCTCTTAGTGTGTTCGCTACACTGCGTAGTTAAATAATAATATGTTTTGCCCAAGCCGAAATCAGAAAATTAACTCTGTCCCTAATTTATTCCAATTGATTTCCCCAGACAACCCCTATTATTTTTGCAATGACACCAAGTCGCCGCGCACGCCGGACTCTCAGTCCTCCGGCCGTGGATTCTCGATCTTCAAGCGGCGGAACTCGAAGGGCAGCAGCCCCCGTCCGGTGGTAGTGACCAATCCGGAGCAGATGCGCCTGATCACATCCGCCAATCTGGACTCGACGGCCACCATGGCCTTTGGGAGTCCGCGCGGCAGCTTCAACTCCCTCGGCGGCTTTTCGCAAGTGAGTAGGGGGTCAATGAGGCATATGTTCCGCTCCGATTTCCGAATACTGATTCTGATTTATCTGCTGCATCTTCAACTTCCTGTGTGGAATGCTATCTAATGCGCCGCCCTCTTCCGTTTTGCATTTTTCAGCACTCATTTGAAATGCAACCGATGCACTCGTACCGCCAGAGATCTTCCAATTCGCACTCTGAGTTCCGGGAACGCCTGGGTTCCTGCAACGAGACGCACAGCTCCCAGTGTCCCGGAGGAGGAGCTGGGGATCACGACGAGGTCTTCAATCCGCTGACATCGCCAACAAGGTGAGCAATCCCCCGAATCAAAATTGGAATGGGAATGGGGATGTGCTGATGACAGGATGCGATTGCAGCTGTTGACAGTTTCGAACCGCCCTCTTTTCCGCCCGTGCTAATCGTTGCCCTTTTCTTGTTTACCCCCCCTCCGGTTTTTTTACCCGCCCAATCTCCAGTAGCAAATCCCATCGCCATCACACCCTGCCAAGTGGCGGAGCACGTCGTCATTCCCTGGGAAACTGGGCCCAACATCAGCAGCATCAGCAGCATCAGCACCAACAGCAAAACTCCGGAGCAATGGGCCTGGGATCTCCGGATGAGGTGCCCAGCATGATGGCGCCCCGCCCACCGCTCCTCTCGCCCAACAAATTCCGCGGCAGCTCCCATCGACGAAGAGGTGAGTTGACGTTGACACTTCGACTACTCATCTGCTCAGTATGCCAGGGGGCAGTCGCAAATTCCTATGCTAATCTGGGCCCAATAAATAGAAAAAATGCATGTAAATGGAAATCGTTTAGAAAAGTTTTTCCCCCCAGAACAGTCAAAGCCTATGGGTATACATTTGTGGTTAACTTTACTCTTTGAAGGAATATAAGATATCTTATAGAAAATTTTCTAGAAGCTAGACCAGTTTATTTTTATTTACTTGCACTAAGAAAAAAAAATATCCTTGACTTTAGCGAAATATATTTAATTAAAGGAATAATGGACTTAATTTGGCCTTAAAGTCAGCAATATATATTTAGGAAATGACCTACATTTCATTCGGGAAATTAAACCTATGAGATGAAATTGGATAAGATTGTTACAAATTTATTTTAAAGGGATTGATAAAAGTGACCATGAACAGTAATCCATAGCCTAGTCCTCCTAACTTTCGCTATCACTTAGAGTTTATTAAACTGCTAGTCTTTGTGTAATTGGCATTCCCATAGTCTAATATACTCCTGAAGTTATTTTTATTTACATTGCGTGTTCTACCGCAGCACTGACAGAGACAAAGTGTTTGGCAAATTGAATTCCCTGCCCTCGTTTCGCGTTCGCATTTTTGCACTTTGGCGGCTGTCAGCCCCTCTTTTCCCCTGCCCTGAGTCGCCCCCTTTTGGGTTTTCCCCCTTCAACTCCTCGAACGACTGCCCAACAACCTTTACCTCGAAGCTTTGCATCACGTTTGCATATTAAGCGCTACTGCCAGCTCCTCTGTTTTTTTTATTTTTTATATTTTCGCCTGCCAGGCGCCATGGATCTGAGCCCACTCCCCAACCTTCCAGTTCACCCGCTCATTTAAGCCACGTTAACAACATTGCAATGTTTACGCAAGTGATAATTGTAATCGTGTTTTGTCGCCAGAGCGTCGCCAATCTTTGTTTTGGCATTGTTTTTCCCTCGCAGCGAAGCTTCTGTTTGGCTTCGATTCCGTGGCGTAATGAGGCGATCGGGGATCGTATATATATAGCTGATCGTTGGCAACGCGCCTTCCTGGCTGACTGACATTCGCGACTGGCCTGACATTGACAGTCCTCCGTGTGATGGATGCCCCCAAAGCGGGTAGCTGCATGCCAGATGCAAATGCCTCCTGGTTTTCACTTATACTGTACATACTCGTCTCAGGTTTATGGTTTATGAGTCGCTCAGGACTCCTCCGCACGATCATTGTGTATTCATCAAAACGCTTTCAAGGTTTCGCTTTCGTGACATTGGGATATGATGGATAATCTGGAGTTGATTTAAAACACTTCATGTTATGGATAATCCCGGCACGATGTACTTGAAATGAGTTTCAAAACTTCAAGAACTTATTTAATTTTAATAATATCCTATTTTTTGTTTATTCGTTACCTAAAATAAGTGTCAGATTTAATTCTGTTTGGGCCATTTAACGTTATTATAATGACAAGTCATTTTTTCCCTTATTGTTATTATTATCCATTACTATAACAGTTACCTTATATACCTTTAGCTTATTTTTCTACAAGTTGTCTCCTTCTATATATTCGACACACTTATAGCTATGGTCACTTGCAATCTATTCGAATTGTTCGCCATATGCAGGAAACTAGGCAATTTGCCTCAATCAGCAATTAACCCACAACACCCACGAACAATTCAGTTTTAACACCTTAATTTATGGTAAAGGAAAAACAACTTGAGCCCAAAAAACTTTGCCATATTTGCGAGTGTGGCACTGCAATATGCTGCAAAAGGGGGCTAGAGTTATACGCATTTCCGCTTGTTCAATAACAATGGCAATTGCAGTTTGTTATTATGTTGCTGGCAACTAACAAATGGCAACTGGCAACATGGCGGATGGGCAATATGCAACATGCTATGGAGTCAATAAAAGGGGGGCTGTAGGTGGTGGGTGTGGCCACATGAGGAGCATAAATTGAAGAACTGCACATCGAATAAGGCAGGCGGAACGGAACTCTGCATAATTGATGGGCGGACTCCGACTCCGGTGGCTTCAAACGTGTTAATGGCACGGAAGCGAGAAAAAAAGGGGGGAGTTGGGTGTCCGACTGCTTTGCATATGGCGCGTGCCGGCCAAGCGATTGGCCAAATTTGGCCCTCCACCTCCCATACCGAGAAATTGGCAGCACCAGCACAAACTGTGAATACATCAAAGCCACGGGGCTGTTTACGTTGGCCATGTTTCCTCTTTGGCTTTCCCAATCAAAAGCGCTTCAAGTCTATAAAACTTGAAACTCGAGAATTTAAAAAAAAAAGTGGGCTGCCATTTATCAATTTTTCACTCTTCAAATTTCTTCAGAAGCTGTGGAATGCAGCAGGTGATTTGGGGTCAGCAACAGAAGTCAAGACAGAAGCGGAGCATTTTGCTGCTTCCCCAGTGCACTTGTTTACCCATTTTTCTGCCCCAGCGTCTGGCTTCTGTTTTCAATTCCCGGAACATCTGCTCATCAGATTACGCAGAGGCAGAGTGTGCTGCCACATCTACATGCACCATCTTCAAAGGGGGTTCAATACACTTATAGGCTCTGCCTTGGGGGTTACGTCTTTCCTTTCCTCGCTGCGCATATCAAATAGCCCGAAAAAAACACGGGCACCCAAAAAATCCTATCGAGGAACTCAAGTGTCTTCCTTCGCCGCTGAATCCAACACCTGTTGCATTCATAAATACTAAGCAGAGATTTGAGCACAGTCGTCTTAATTAACATAATTTTTGGTAGGATAATAATGCCTACTCTTCCCCTTAAAAAAATCATGTTTAAGAAAAACACTACCGAAATTTTGCTCACGTTTCAGTTCGGAGGTTTCCCTTTTTTTTTATGTTGGGACTGTCTTTGTTTCTGACTATTTTAAGAGTTCGTGGAGGAGCAGGATTTTTTTTGTAGAATGAAATTATGGTTGATCCTAATAAGAAAATAAATAAAAAAGATCTTCTTCGGATTTCGTTAATACAAATTTGAATAATGGATTTCCATATTGATAAAGCAATATATTTTTATTCATTTTCCTGATACAAAATGTAATTATTTATTTATTTTATTGCAATCCAAGCTGTGTTATAAAATCCTTCCTCCACCGTTAATAATTTCCATCTCCCCTTTAAGATTTATGTCCAATTAACCTGCCAGAAAGCAATCTCAGCTTGCCATCTTGGCATAGCCATTTACAAAAATATTTCTCGCCACATTAAGTTTTATGATGATTTCTTATTTTATTGCTGTTATTGTTGCCCTTGTCTGGAGTTTCAGCTGTTGCCATTTAAATGGCGGTAAATAAAAATAATATTTGTATATGTTTACAAGTTTTGAGTCCTAACTCTTGGGGCTATCCATAAAGGGGTTCTATGAAGTTGTTGGTGCTGGCGAAAAAAAAACAAATGAAGATCTGTTGATCGCTTAAAATGCCATAACTCCGTTTATAGCTCTTGCGGAGGAGGCGTGCGGATCGAAAGGGTTATTTAAAATGGACAATGCGTTGATTAAACGTCACGGGCACGTACAAAAACAACAACGACGGCGCGTTGACTTTTATTATTTTATAATCTCCCACCAATGCATTGTGGAGAGAAAGAGATTGCCGATCGGAGAGAGAGAGAGAGCTAATTGATATTCTTGGCATTCAGTAAATCGGTAGAAGGCCCAAAGCCAAGTCGAAAGCCGAGCTTTTGCCAGTCGAAGTTGAAGGACTGTGGCAACTTGACGCTCCAAGCGTTGCGCATGCGCAGTTGTTAGCTCAAACAAAACAAAACCCCAAAAACTGCAGTGAAGAGTTGATATATTATAGCCAAAAACCTCTGATAATGATCTAAATTTTGTGCCGTGTCGTGCCGAGGTTTTGGAATTAATAACAACATGTTACTGAAAGTGGAAAACATCGAGATGGAGACGTTCTGCTGCGGTGAGTAGCAGTTTATCTCTATAGTCTTTAGAGATACACATATCTATACCCTGTGACACTGAAACTTAATTACGCAGCCAAATCAGGAAAGTGGAAAATTCTAAAGAGCGGTGTCTTCAAAGTGACAGCACTTAAAATTCATGCAACGAACTCCATACATAAAAAAAAGAGATTGAAAACAGGAGAAAGGGTTCTTTGAGTGGAAAAAAAACTTTTGTATGGTAATTGAAGGACCTCTTAGAATAAGCAATTTCCTCTTTAATTTTCTTTTTTTTTTCAATTTTTTCGGTAATTCCAACTCAACTGGGGGGCACGTGTTTGAAAAAGATGAGGGACACGGCTTCAAAAATAGAGCACAGATTGAGTTTCCGCTTAAAACCGTCTAGACTTCGGTGTTTTTCCCTGCTGCTCCCCTATTTTCTAATTAATATCACAAAAAAGGAAGGGAAAATGAAAAGCCAGACATAAAAAGCGGGACATTAAGGGGGGCAAAACCTGCGGCAGCTGCTACCCCAAAAACGCAGATGTGCTGGGGAGTAGCGCGTGCCCTTCGACTAGGCTTCAAATAATGCTCATATTTCTGGATACCACATAGCTCTTCCTTTGCTGGTGCGTGTTTAAAAATAGCAAAAAAGCAAACAGCAATTATAAACTGAATTGAAAGGGCTGTGCGTGATGTTAATGCTGAGCAACAGTCGCGGATCAGTTGAGGGCGGGGATGGGGATGGGTATGGGGCGGTAAAGGGCAGCAGGTGCCGCTCCAGAGCAGCATAAATACAAATGCAAATACAAACACAAGCACATGCCCGAACCAGACAATAATAACAATAACAACAGCCCAGAAAGCAGAATGTGCAGAAAGTAACGTACAATTTGCAGTTGGCGCAAAAAATAACAATGCGCAGGCGCAGACGCAAGTCAAACATACTGAGAAAAAACCATTCTAATAATAATAATATTTTTGCAGAGTTCTCAAAACTTTAAATTTCTTAACATAATAACTTTTTTAAAAAGAAGAAATAAATAGTTTAA